GGGAAAAGTTGAGTTCCAGAGTGTTTGAATCTACTTTTCAGGCGACTTAGGAGGAATCAGATGATCCTGGCCAACACCCTATTCCAGTGTGTTTGTTATCACCCCGAGGAGTTCCAGATCATCACCAGTGGCACAGACAGGAAGGTAAGCACTGATGGCCCTCCACCGTCCAGTCTCGTATCTGCAGATTCGATCAGCTGTGAACGCCTGCAAATGCTTGAAGTGGGGGGAGGGGTGGGTGGATTGCATCCTTACCGAACAATTTATTACAGTATACAGATAGAGGATGTGCATAGGTTATATGTAGATAGTGTGTCATCTCATATGGGGGCTCGAGCATGTTTGCATGCTGACTCCCATGGGTGATACTATGGCCCTACATTAACAGTCCAGAGGACTGATTCCCCATTTCAAGCACCCGTCTCTCCCAGTTTGGTGTCCCATTTCCAGGCAGAGAACAAGGTTAGGTGTTCAGTTTCTTTAAATCCCACCCTATGGAATATGTTGTCGCTTTGGACCAGAAAGACAAGTTAGGGTCTAGTGATGGATAAAGATGAGACAGGGTCCAGTCAGACTGGCACAAAGCCCCGTCCCCCAAACCCTGCCAGAAGGAACTCTCCCTCCCACCAGGCCTGCAGTTTGGCCCTCATCCTCAGCGCGCAGAAGCAGACTTCCCCAGTGGTACTTCTCTTCTTTATTTTCCATGTTGCAGCAGACTCAATCTGCTTCGCCTTATCAAAAAGTCTCTTTCTGTCACTATCCAGGTTTATGGCATATCAACATCTCTTTAAATAGCATGCAAATTTCAAAACCAATACTAAAAATAATAAAATGATTTCTCCACCCCCTCGCCATGGCCTATTTATAAATCCAACTTATCCCCTCCCAGGGTGTATTTTTGCTACCTTCTATATAAAGTGGAGGCATCTTTTGCGAGCATGTGTGTGGATGGTTCCACTGCACCGACTCCTGTCGGATGCCCTTCTGTATTCCAGATTGCTTACTGGGAAGTATTTGATGGGTCAGTAATCAGACAGTTGGAAGGTTCCTTGTCTGGGTCGATCAATGGTATGGACATCACTCAGGAAGGAGGACACTTTGTGACAGGTTAGTCCCAGTCCCAAATAAGGTAAGAAAACCCCCAGGGTTCCTTATTTCAGAGGACAAGGAAGCCTTAAGTGAGAGTCAATGAGAAGAGCCTGTAGAGGGTCTCAAGGACACCTTGGGTAACATTCAGCCCAAACAGCCCACCACCATGGCGGGAAAAGTCACACTTCAATGAGGGAAGACATTTGTACAGGGCAAAGAGAAAAGACGAGCTTGACATCGTGAGGTTTGTTCTTTGGGGGTAGAAATGAGCCTTCAAATGTCCCGAGCCTTCGAGGTGCTTTCCTCTACATTTTTGGTTGTTTTTATTGTTTTTGTTTTGAGATAGGGTCTTGCTCCCACAGGCCTTGAATTTGTGATCCTCCTGCCTCAGACTCCTGAGCGCTAGGATATGAGGTAGGTAGGCCCCCATTCCCACCTCCTCGGCTGTCTTTTTTACTTAAGTGTGAGCCACCAGTTTTTTGTTTGTTTGTTGTTATTGTTGAAGAATATGATGCCTCAACTCCTTGCTGTGAATGAACTAGTTAATGTTTTTTGGGGGCATTTACCACGGGACATGGCCACTAGAACAGCATTAATACAACTTCCTGGCAGGCTCTTTGATTCTTCAGGACATTAATAAGCGCTTCAAATAAATCAAAGTTCCATAAACACACTGACTTAGAAAAAGATATTAAACCAGACACAGTGGGATGCTAATACATACACAGGTGTGCGGCTACACCTTCTGCATTTGTGGAGAAGAGTGGAAGGACCAACAGTTAGGGTGTGGCTAGTGGTTAATTCTGGGTGGCATTTGCCTTTCCATTCTAAATTTACTACAACATACAAAGATTTTTTTTTTTTAGGTCAAGAAAAAGCTTTATATAATAATGGATTTTTCTTTCTTCAAGTTGCATCATATGGGGGACCGTGTTGAAAATGAAGCAGTTATGTGAGGTTGGGGCTGTTTCCCTGTTCGATGTCAACCATGTCATGTACTTGTTTTTCAGGGGGACATGACCATCTGGTCAAAGTCTGGGATTATAACGAGGGTGAAGTGACTCACGTCGGGGTGGGACACAGTGGCAACATCATGGGCATCCGGGTAAGTCCAGGAAACCAGTACATCATCAGTGTGAGTGCAGACGGAGCCATCCTGAGATGGAAGTACCCATTTGCTTCGTGAAGCACGAGGATTCCCGAGCCTCCACCTGTACCGAGTACAGCCCTGCCCAAGACCAAGTGTGGATCAGCCCCAGCACCAGTCTTGACTTCTCACGGCTACTTTCATTCTGTAGTCAAAATCCTTTCCTTTATAATCTACAATCTCACATTGTACGTTGAAACTGAACTGTTATAGAAAAAAATTTGTCCAGAATATAATTTTTTGAGTTTTTAATTATTAATAAATTTGAAGGTGCTGTCTTCTGGCCATAATTTCTTTTTTATGTCTCCCCAAATCCACAGGCATTCCTCCTGATCTGTCCCCAGGGAGGGATGCTATTTTCTTGTAAAAATAAAATGAGTGTGTGTGGTCATGGGGATGGGACTAGGGCCTCAGGCATGGTAGGTAACTGTGGCTCCACTGGGCTATCTCCCTAGCTCAAACTTACCCTTTAATTTATCAGTTCACTGGTGAAGCAGCGTGAGCGGTCAGGTTTGAACCCACATTTTTGGGCAGGTGTATTAGTTACTTTCACATAGCTGTCCGCATACCTGAGAGAAACAACATAAAGCATGACTTATTCTGACAGTGTTTCCCATGGTTTGATCCACGCTGGCTTTGCCCCAGGCTGGCACTTGAGTGGAGCCTCACAGTGAAGCTCACGGATGCCCATCACCGCAGGCAGGAAGGAGAAAAGAAGCCAGCGCTCACCCCCTTTATTTACTCCAGGTCCCTGATCCATGTGATGGTAGCACTCATATTTTTTTTTTTTTTTTTTGGTTTTTCGAGACAGGGTTTCTCTGTGGTTTTGGAGTCTGTCCTGGAACTAGCTCTTGTAGACCAGGCTGGTCTCGAACTCACAGAGATCCACCTGCCTCTGCCTCCCAAGTGCTGGGATTAAAGGCGTGCGCCACCACCACCCGGCAGCACTCATATTTAGAGTGAGTCTTTCCCAACTTAATTAATCCTCGCAAGAACCACCCTTGCAGTCTCACCCAGAGGCACCCTTCAGTCTCCTAGGTGATCTTTAAAAATTTTATTTCCTTCCTTCCTTCTTTCTTTCTTTCTTTCTTTCTTTCTTTCTTTCTTTATTGTGTGTGTGTGTGTGTGTGTGTGTGTGTGTGTGCATACGCCCATGCTACAGCACATGTATAGAGCCAGCGGACTGTCTGAGTGGCCAGTTCTTTCTTTCAATCACGTGGTTCAGAGATCAAACTCAGGTCCCCAGGCTTGGTAGCAAGCACCTTTACCTGCCCTACCATCCCTAGGTGATTTCTTAATGTGATCAGATTAACTATACAACGAGCTCATAAAACAGTTTCAGCTTCTGTTTTCTACTTGGCCAAGTAAGAATAAATTTCCACTCAGACCTTTATTGTGAGACGTGAGGGAGCTGAGCTGGTAATGCCCCAGCGGCATTCCCGACAGAGTTAAACACCAAATGCTTCCTAAGTTGTGTCAGCCAGGCGTGAGGGCACACACCCAGGATTCCAGCACTCGGGAGGCTGAGGGTGAAAGACTGAGCGTGCCAGACCAACCCGGGCTACACAAGCGGAGACAGACTCCATTTCACCAACCCCCAAGCCAAAACAAAACCAACAAACCCCCTAAACTGTTACCAAACACCACCCCCCCAATAAATCCCCGTGTGTTACTGAGGATCTTGGAATGGTCTCAGAAGTGAAATTCTGGAGATGACTCGTTAGAGCCGGCCAAGACCATGACACCTTCAATACTTACCATCGGCAGGGTGATGAAATGAATCTTATGAATTAATCAACCACGCGGTTATCTCTTTGGGGGGGGGGGGTAAATGGTGACCTTTTACACTTTAAGTCTCGGACACTACAGGCTATTCTTTATCCTTAACTTGTGCAGCTTTTTGGCACCGGGTAACTGCTGCAATCCTATGTGAAAGATCGAGGAGGATATTTAATAAATGATGACCACTTATTAAATAGCAAGTCACATTTCTGAGTACTGACGTAATACTGACTCCAGAAAGCTGCTGATCTCTTTTTGAGCTAGAAACTGATGAGAAATTCATTTTGCAAGACCTTGCCTGATTAATTATAAACCTGACAGTTATAGGATAAAAGGAGCCAAGGCCTCCAGGGTTACCCAGGGAATAAAGGGCGGGCTAATTCTGATTGGGTAACGATAACGCCAGGATTTTACACGGAGAAATGAAACAGCAACCGAGTAGGGGGCGCGCCTGAGACCCAGCAAACTTGCTGCCGAGCAAATTCTGGGGTAGTAAAGGGCTGGATCTCGCAGTACACCCAGCGGGGATCGAGTTCCGGTTTCTCTCATTTCGTTGCCTTAACCTCTCCGAGCTCCCTTCACCGATGAAAACCAGGACAATCAAGTCTCCCAAGTTTTTGGAAAATTACTGTATCCTAGTGTGAAAAAAACAACAGCAACAACAAGATAATAACAAACCCCAACCCACTAGTACTCACAGTTCTAGTGCAGAGACGGGTGCAGGCAAAGCCTACAAAGGAAGTGGCGCCACCTGACCGCACGCACCTGAACCTGAACTCCCTACCGGCTTAGCTACCAGCGCGCTCCTCTCGGCAAACCTGAGTCACCCGGGACACCGCTCGCCGGTCATTTTTCGTCGTCTTCACCTGGTTCCCAAGACCAGGAAAACTTAACCAGAGCCTGGGCTTTGCTTTCTATCCCCGGGTTGTCTCTGCAGTGTAGGGATGGGCGTAGAAGGCGAACAGATGGGAAAGGCCTCTTCCAAGGCGGGAAGGAAGGGCGGGCAAGTCCTCTAGGCGGGCTCCAGGGGATTGCATTCCCAGCCCGGGCCGCGGGGGCGGGAGCCCAGCGGCGGGCGCTGCCCCAGGGCCGGATTCCCGCGCGGGGCAGGGCGGGGCGGCGGCGGGACGGCCCCGCCCCTGGCTCCGCCCTCGCCCGGTGCCCGCACACCTGGCTCTCAGGTAGCCGGCGCCCCACGCCTCTCAGAGGCGGTGAGGGTCGGGGAGTTGCCGGTCCGCTTCGGACCCCGGGAGCTGTGCTCCCGGACCACCGTGCTCGGCCAGCATGGATCCCGGAGTCGGGGACGCACTGGGAGAGGGGCCGCCCGCGCCCCGGCCCCGTCGCCGGCGTTCCCTGCGCCGCCTGCTCAGCCGCTTCCTGCTAGCTCTGGGCAGCCACTCCCGCTCAGGGGACTCGCCACCCCGGTCCCGGCCCCCGGCCCAGTCCGGCCCCTACGAAGGCGATGGAGACGGGGGCTTCGCCTGCGCCCCGGCACCGGCACCGGCCGCTCCCGGGAGCCCAGGGCCGGATCGTCCTGCGGGACCCCAGCCCCAGCTGTCTGCGGGCGACGGGGCGCGGCCGCCCGGCGCGCAGGGCTTGAAGAACCACGGCAACACCTGTTTCATGAACGCCGTGGTGCAGTGTCTCAGCAACACGGACCTGCTGGCCGAGTTCCTAGCTCTGGGGCGCTACCGGGCGGCGCCGGGCCGCGCCGAGGTCACCGAGCAGCTGGCGGCGCTGGTGCGCGCGCTCTGGACGCGCGAATACACGCCCCAACTTTCCGCTGAGTTCAAGGTAGGCAGCGCCAGAAGCGCCGGCGGTCCGCAGCCTCCACCGATCCTTCTGGTTTCCGTGCCTGAAAAGCGTGTGAACCACCAAGCCGAGCCGGGTTCCCTGGCGGGTGGGAGGTGGGGGGCTCTCTGTAGATACCACTTAGCTAGTCCAGCCACCGGTTATCGCCTTTGTTTTGAGGTGACGTGTTAACATTGCCACTTGCAAATGCTTTCTTTTAGAATTAGTTTCTCCCTGGTATTTTGAGCTGGGGTGGAGAGAGCTGGCAGCCTTAAGTTTATCCAGCAGTTTTGTGTTTAGCAAGCAGTTGTTGAAGGAGTGTGGATTTGCGGGACACGGTGAATTAGAGCTTCGGATCTGGAGGGGTGCAGAGTGGGAAGTTTTGAAGGCCAAGGTTTGGGGAAGGAGGTGGTACAGGCGTGGAGAACAATGTTGAGAAGGACACAACCAGGTCAAGATCTAGGGAAAATCCAGGCAGAGTGATCAGTAAATAGAAAGGACATAGGCCTGAAGGTGATGCGTGTTGAAGGCAGGAGTGGGTCTTCAGATCATGTATGACCTTGGACACCGTGGCTTTGGGTTATTTAAGCCCAATAGCTGCCGAGAACCAGTAGGTCAGGTACTGTGACAAATGGGGGGGGGGGGAGTCAGCGAGACTGCTAATTTAGAGATGATGTCCCTTAATTTAATTCATATTAAATCCTGACAGTATGTGAGCATTTGTTATCTGCAAGATTACAGCTGGGGATGCTGTGAGGGTATGAGAATGGGTTAAAGTACAAAAGACGGATGAAAGCGTTCCTGATAATTGGTGCACAGGGCTTGCTTCCTGCTGTAAAACCGCAGCTCTGCACAGAGAGCTGAAGCATCCCGAGGACTAGTGATTGTTATTGAGGCGAGGGCAAGCATGACTGTCAGTGTTCATTCCATAAACATCTTGAGTTTCAGCCGGAGAAAGCAGCCTTTGTTGTGTCAAGGGCTAGGATGCTAGCCACTGCCTTCCTCCCCCACCTCCCTTCCTGGGAGAAGCACCGTGTTCCAGTCGTCACACGATGTCTTTAGTGTCACTTTTAGGCCACAGTTGCTTTTCAAATATAGTAACAGTGTGTAGTGTAGTGGTCTTGTAGGCAATGACTCAGTGCTTGGCAGAGCGCTTCGTTATGCAGGCTTTGAGGATATGGGTTCTGGCTCCAGAACCCAGGTAAAAAGGGAAAAAGGTCAAATGAGTGACCCAGTGCAGACCTATCATTTCCCTGTGGGCCTGTAGTTGCAGCACTAGGGGGACCTGAGCAGGTGGATCCCTGGGGCTTTCTGGCTAGACAGTCTAGCCGACTTGTGAGTTTCTAGATTCAATGATAGATCCTGTCTGAAAAAAAGCCGCGAGGAACACACTTGTTTGGTGATCATATACGCTTCAATGCACTGGTGGGCACACATACACAGAAAGATCAAGGTCTCTGGGGCTTTATGATTTTGATGCAGATTAATCTTTCCTCATCTGTAAAATCGAACTATATGACCATTACTTCATTATAAGGTAGTTGTGTTAAGTGAGCTATATATAGAGCACCGAGAACATGCCTGGTTCCTGGGGAATGTTTATTCTGGAATTACACTTCCTTCCTGCAGAGAGCCCTAGAGCAGGAAGGGAGGTGATCTTTGAGTAAGCTTGCCTTTACCAGATGCATTCCCACCCCATTGCTACAGCAATGAGAGTGGCAAGCGGCTTGGAAGAAGCTCACATTTGTAATCACGGCCAGTGACTCACCAGGAATTCCTCTCTTCTGCTGTCTGAATCCCCAGGCCCTGGGAGCACCCAGTGCCTTGGGGAAACTGAATGATAAGCTAAGCAAGTTGTTAATGAAGGAGATGTAATCTGGGGTTCCCTTGGGACTCTCAGGTGACCAGATTTGGAAGGTAGAGGAGATTTTAGAATCCCGACTTTTAAATATTGGGGATGGAAATCTAGGTGGGCTCTTATGGGTATTGAAACTTTCACCTAGTCAACATGTGCTTATTGAACGTGGAGACAGTCTATCGGGAACAGGGACTGTGTGATGAGTGGCCAGTGCAAACCCAGATCCTGGGACCCAGGGCCAAGTCTGAGTCCAAATCTGAGCATACTCCCCAGAAGTTTACTCTCTAGAGGAGAAATGGGTCACGGAGGCCCTCAATTAGAACTGGTGATAAGATAAAAGGAAAAATACAAGGTGCTCTGGATGTTGTGACAAGAGGGTATGATTTGTTTGGAGGAGCAGTTCAGCCTTCCCTGGTGAGGTCCCTTTGCCCTGAGTTGGGTTATGAAAGATGAAGTGTCAGCCAAGGACATGGAAGATGGGAGATAATGACTCCAGGCCTGGGAAGGAAAATGACAGCCCAGGAGAGGGGTGGAGCAGGAGTGGAATGAAGACCCAGAATCCTTTTGACAAATTCATCCATGAAGGCTCATGTAGTTGAGGAGGAGCGTGGAGAATTAGGGATTTGATCTTGTTAAGGAGATGGTCTTTAAAGATGATTAACTTACTTCAGACCCATGAGGGGCCCAGCATGTGGGGCTTGACCCTAGTGAGCTAGCTTCAGACCCAGGAAGGACCCAGCATGTGGGGCTTGGCCCCGCACCCACAAATAAGATGGGTTTACAGTATTCTCCCTTCTTGAGCCCAGAATCACCAGTTTCCCACACATAGCAGGACCAAGTTTTGTTTCAACAGAAAATGGATTAAATACACTTTAAAAAGTCCTCTCATCTATAGTTATTTTCTAATGATGTAGTTAAGTATGTGTATTGCAAAAAAAATTAGAAAGTATAAGAAGAATCTGTAATTCCCCAGAATCCTTATAATATAGACCATTGTAAACTTACTGGTATGTTGTAAACAATCAGAAATTCTAGTTCTGGCTGGGCAGTGCAGCTTGCACGCCTTTGATCCCAGCATTTAGGAGGCAGAAGCAGGCGAATCTCTGTGAGTTCAATGCCAGCCTGGTCTACAAAGTAAGTTCCAAGACAACCAGCAATGTTATACAGAGAAACCCTGTCTCAAAAACAAAAACCTCAAAACAAAACAACACCCCTCCCCCACCCCCAATAAAGAAATTCTAGTTCTGCATTCTGCTTGTTTGTTTTTGAGCTAGGGCTGCGCCCGACTACCTAGCCTGAAACTTGCTATATAGACCAGACTGGCCTTGAACTGATGCACCTGACTCTGCAGCCAAGTGCTAGGTACACACACACCCCTCCACACCCTACTGTGTGTGTTCTTTCTTTTTAATAATGTAAGTATTATTACAAGACCTTTTGGCTTTAGAATAATGCTCAGAACTTGACTTTTAATAATTGAATATATCATCAGATGGGCCAGTCCTTTGTGGAGACACTGTTGCTCTATTGCGTTTTCCAGTGAGCACACTGTAGTGAAAATGCCTGTATTTTTCTAACTTACTTTATTTAAAAATTGTATTTCTTTCCCTTTATGTAAATGGGTCCTTTGCCTGCATGTATGTCTGTGTGCCACATGGCACCCAAGAGGGCCTTGAATCCCTGAGAATGGAGTTACAGATGGTTGTGAGCCATTATCTGGTTGCTGGGAATCAAACCCGAGTTCTGGAAGTCATTCAATGCTCTTAACAACTGAGCCATCTCCAGCCCCAATTTCCCTGTATTTAAGTCATTGTTCTCAGCTCTGATTATTTCCAAATATATAATTCCATGAGTGGAATCGTGTTTTCAAAACAAAAGGAACAGCTGTTTTAATGACTTTCTGGAGGTGTAAGTTATATAGTGAGGTGCATCCATTTCAAGTGCTGAATTAGTTTTAGGAAGTGCAGGTACCTGGGTAGTCATCATCCCATCTTAAATGTGTACCCTCCATCCCTCCCTTCCATTTTTCTTTAGTTTTTAAGATAGGACCTCACTATGTAGCTGTGGCTGGCCTCGAACTCACAGTAACAGTCTGCCTCTGCCTCCCGAGTGCTGGGATTAAAGGGATTAAAGGTGTGTGCCTTCAGACCTGGCACCTTTCTTTTTTTCTTCCTAAATCAACTCCACTGGGTTTGATTATTATTCTTTTTTTATTATTTACAATCCTCATTGGTTATTTCTTTCCAAACAATAATGTCAGGTTGCATATACACATTTAAGAACTCTCCGAGAGCAGATTGGGTGTTTTTGTCTCATGAGCCCACTGGCCCTGGTTTTATAATACTTAACAATTGGCAAGAGAAACTCTGTGTCAATAGTGTATAGCACAATGCTTTGAGGTGTGTACACAGGGTAAGATGGTTAACTCAGAATAATTACATAATCACCAACATCAGGTACTTAACCCCTTTTCGAGGAGGGAACACATAATGTCAGTTCTCTTTGCAGTCCCAAATCTCCAGCACCTCATTACCCTTCCTGTGAGCAGGCTTGGTAATGGACCTGACTTACTTGATGGAGAACCGGCTTTACTTTTAGTCTTCAATTAGGAGTGAGGTGGAAGTACTTCCTGTGTTTCTTGACTAGTTTCTTCTACTGTTTGTGTTTCTGTTCGGCTTTGTTCTTAATGTTCTGTATACTTCCCTGTGTTCTCAGTATTCTCTACAAATGTTTTATACAAATTGTTTCTTTTTCTCCTACCCCAGTGCTGGAAGCTTTAGATTTGTTTATGCTATGTCTTTTTGTAAATATAACTTTTTTAAACAGAGTCTTACTGTGCAGCCCTGGCTGGTCTGGAACTCAGGGTTCTCCTGTCTCAGTCTCCTGCGTGCTGGAACCACAGGCATGCACCACCACACCCAGCTCCCTCAGGCTTTTTGATCTGTCTTCTATTTTGTGACATTCTAGTTTCTCTATGGTTGTACTAAGGGTTTCAGCCATCTGGAATTTCGCTTAGCTTAAAATCAAATGTAGATATACTTGTGCTTTAAATCAAATTTAGATATACAACCATTTTCTTTTATTTATTTTAACTTTTTGAGTTTTCTGTCTTTTACTGACTTGCAACTGGCGTCTGGCTCACTCAGTAGACAAGGATGACCTTGAACTTCTGATGTTCCTGTAGAGGCTCCTCTTTCTTGAAACAAAGATTCATGCTTTTTCTTTTTTTTCCCTCCTGTGGTGCTAAGGATTGAACTCAGGGTCCCTCACACACTATGAAGCACTTTACTAAATACTGAGCTGTATCTCCAGTCCCTTCACTTTTGTTTTGAAAGTTATGGACGAAACAGTAAGAGGAGAAACAGAAACATTAAAAACTATTGGGCAGAAAAAAATCTGGCTGGAACCATTAAATAACTAGAAGGAATGTTGAAAAATCACCAGTATTTGGGAGAGAACACACACTCTCTCACATACTTATACTCACACACACTCTCTCTCACACACTTATACACACACACACACACACACACTCTCACACACTTATAGACACACACACACTCTCTCACTCTCTCACACACTTATACACACACACTCTCACACACTTATACACACACACATTCTCACACACTTATACACACACTCTCTCACACACTTACACACACATTCTCACACACTTATACACACACTCTCACACACTTACACACACTCTCTCACACACTTATACACACACTCTCTCACACACTTACACACACACACTCTCTCACACACTTATACACACACACTCTCACACACTTATACACACACTCTCACACACTTATACACACACTCTCGCACACACTTACACACACATTCTCACACACTTATACACACACACACTCTCACACACTTATACACACACACTCTCACACACTTATACACACACACTCTCTCACACACTTATACACACACTCTCTCACACACTTACACACACATTCTCACACACTTATACACACACACTCTCACACACACACTCTCTCACACACTTATACACACACTCTCTCACACACTTACACACACATTCTCACACACTTATACACACACACTCTCACACACTTATACACACACTCTCTCACACACTTACACACACATTCTCACACACTTATATACACACACTCTCACACACTTACACACACACTCTCTCACACACTTATACACACACTCACACACTTACACACACTCTCTCACACACTTATACACACACTCTCTCACACTTACACACTCTCTCACACACTTATACACACACACTCTCACACACTTACACACACACACTCTCACACACTTATACACACACACTCATATATACTCTCATGCACTCACACACACTCTCTTACATACACTAACAATCTTACACACACACTCACCCTCTTACATACACACTCACGCACACATTCACATGCACACAGCGGACCAAGCTGAGCTGTGCTGCAGGATAGACATACTGAATACCATTCTCATCTTTTGTGAGTTTTTGCTCCTGCTCCATCTTGTGGTGCTGGGGATCCAACCTTGGGTCTTTCACAGGCTAGGCAAACTTTCCACATTGAGCCACACCCCCAACTCTTGGTTTCTTGGTGAAAAGGTCTTGTTTTATAGCCTAGGCCAGCCTGGAATTTAAGATCTTTCTGCCTTAGCCTTTCAGGGTCCTGGGTACAAATGTGAGGCTCCACCACTAGCTTTCTCATGGATACTTGTGGTCCACAGAAATATCCTTGCTTGTGTCTCTTATCTCTCCAAGTTACGTTCTCCAAAGTGGAATTACTGTGCATATACAGAAATACTTTACTTTTTTAAATTTGATTTTTACTTATCATTAATTGTGTGTGGGAGGGGTATACACACACATGCCTGTGAGTGCCAGCCTGTTACAGAACTTGTATGAGGGTTAAAAGACAACTTGCAAGTTCTCTTCATCCACCACAGGCCTTGGGGACTGAGTTCCAGCTGTTGTGATTGGCAGTAAGTGCATTTATCCACTGAGCCAGATCCCCAGCCCTACACAGTTTTGTTGTTAGGATCCCATCTTACCTGTCTTCTTGAAGTTGTCAAATTCTTTGTGAGGCTTTGATTATGATGTAGCCAGGCTAAGAGGAAGAGAATTCACAGTGACCCGAAGGTGACAGAACTGTGAGAGGCTAGACAAAAGTGCTGGTCTAGACCATAGACTCCAGAAAGTTTGGGGCACCTGAGTGGCTTGCTTACCGGGGGCTTTGAAACAGGGAGGTAGTAGACTTGGTGTCTGTAATCTTGTTGCAGGAGGGTCAGAAGTTCAAGGTCATCCTTGTCTACAAAGTTTGAGGTTTGGACTACAGGGCTGTAGGAGATCTTGGTGGTAGTGAGGAAGGAGGGGAGAAGAGAGAGAGAGAGAGACTAGAGAAAGATGTTAGTTTAGGATGGAACAATGAAGGAGTTTGAGCTACTGGACTGCAGGAAGATTAGTCTGGTTTCTTAGGAACCTATGAACTAGGGAAGGGCTGTGGTCCCTACTGAGATGTGGGCCGATCATCCTACACTGTTGAGTTCTGACTATTTCTGCTCACCTAGATGAGAAGATCTGTCCTACTTCATTGTAGGGGAGAGACAGAAGCATTTGTGTGGGGGGCAAATCCAGTGTCATCAATGCTAAGAGAAAGGACTGGTTTTAGAGATTCAGAGTTGAGGAAATGGCTGCACAAGAGGAAGAAGGTCAGTACTGTGAGACAGCTTTGTGGGTGGTTTAAGGGTAGGGTGGGTACACCCTGTTAATAGTATCTACAGATAAACAATGAGTAACTTTTTAGTACAGTGTCTCCTTCCTTTTCTTCCTCTTCCTCCTGCAGTTGTGGGGATTGAACCCAGGACTTTGTGTATTCTAGGCAAGCATGCTGCCACTGACCCACAGTGCCAGCCAATATGCTTTCAGTTTTGTTTGCTGAGTCAGGCAGCCCTGCCCGTGTGGGTGGTTCAGCTATAGGGAAGCTAGGGGGAGACTCCAACTGAAGTGATCAGAGTGAAGCCCCACAGCCGGCATGTTGGTGAGGGAGCTACACACGTGTGTATTTTACAGCCGGCATGTTGGTGAGGGAGCTACACACGTGTGTATTTTACAGCCGGCATGTTGGTGAGGGAGCTACACACATGTGTATTTCAGGAAGTCAGTTTTGCTGTCAGTATGGTCATTAGCAAAGACAGGGGAAGCCTTGAGAATTAGTGCTGTCAGCTAGGAGAATAGAATGAGAAGGGCGTTTCCCTGTGACCTGTGAGAGAGTGTGGAAGTAGAATGATGGAGGAAGGTCAGTGGTGCATGGTGTCCCCATGATCAGAGGACAAGGGCTTCAGGGAAGATAGATGGTCGATCGACGTTATGAAAGTATTGAGTAAAGAGCCTGGAGAGATGGCTTAATAAAGTGCTTGGCATGTGAGTGCAAGACCTGAGTTTAGATCACCAGCCCTTGCATGCATGCACGTGTGCACGAACACACACACACACACACACACACACACACACACATGCATGCATGCACACGCACATAAACACACACAATTTTACAGAGACATCCTCATGGATCTTCAAGGTCTGGAGCTGCCTTCTTTTCAGAGGACCCATTTGCTAGCTGGGGGTGGGGAAGAATATTTCTACCTATTTTGTTCCCAAGTTGTTATTTCAGGTCAAGGCTGCATGATGACCACTTGATAGTTTGGTGTTTACAGACCTTCCTTCATTTGTGTCAAGGCCCAACATGACTTTTATCTTTGTTTCCTTTCAGAATGCCGTTTCCAAGTATGGCTCTCAGTTCCAAGGCAATTCCCAGCACGATGCCCTGGAGTTCCTGCTCTGGCTGCTGGACCGTGTCCATGAGGACTTGGAGGGCTCGGCTCACGGACTGGCGTCTGAGCAGGTGAGCCACTCTCTAAAGAACATGTGTGTTGATCTTCCTTCTCCCCGTGGGCATTTACTCAGCTCTTTAGATTCCAGTGTATTCTGGTCATAGTGTACACCTTCTGGACTTGCTTGCTTTAGCTCTTGCTGGTTTTAGATAGGCATTCCTGCCTATTGCAGTATTTCTTGTCTTCCCTAATCCCAGTGGTAATCGTGAATAGGACTCCATTATGCCTCTTAATTTGGAAAACATTTTTCTCTGTATGTGCGTGCAGGCACGAATGTGAATGTCAGAGGCTGGTGCCAGGTGTCTTCTTGGATCATGCACCACTGGATTTTTTGAGACAGGATCTCTCGATAAACTGGGAGCTTGCTGATTTGGCTAAACTGTCCTGGCAACAAGCACCACGGACCTTCCAGCCGATCCTTCCCCTGTGCTGAGATTGCAAGGGCACATTGCCACGCCTAGCTCCTACGTGGGGACTTGAATTCACTTCCTTATGCTTGTGTGGCAGGCTCTTTTCTAATTGGGGCATCTCCCAAGCCCCGCCCCCAATATTTTCCTTAATTTTTTCCTTACCTATTCTATGCATTTCTCTGGGCATCTGGATCCATGAGAGTTCTTCTTTGTTATTTTGAGGCAGTTCTAATTCAATCAACTCCACTATTGCTTTCTCGGTTAATGTATTTCACAGAGCAGGTACTTTTTTTTTTTTTTTAAAGACATGAGTGTGTAATTTCTGATTTTGATGAACCCTCAGGTCTTGGGACAAAGGAAGCATTATAGTGCTGTGGGTTTGTTTCTGTTGCTGTTGGCTTTTGTTTTGTTTAGATGGAATTTTGCTGTGTTGCTCAGGCTTTAACTTGGGGCCCTCCTCCTAACTCACTCTGTCCCTGTAGTGCTGGGGGTTGGAGCTTGGTCATGTGTAGTCCAAGCTGGTTTTAAACTCTTAAACTCAAACTCCCCATGCCTCTGCTTCTCTAAGTTCTGGGATGACAGTTGTGTGCCACCACACCCCACACCCGACCACACTGTAATACTTTGTAACAGTTAATTGGCACATTGACTATGTTCTTTATGAGCTTTCCTAAATTAAGGTCAATAGTATCTCGTACTTTATTATGATCTCTTTATTGCTCAAGGAAAAGTGAGTGAAATTACATTATAAGTGGGCCAAGTTATAGTAACCAGATCCTCAAATAGTAGGTAACCTGTGCACCTTGAAATTAACCAGAAACTAACACATTTTTGGTGGATTTCACAGAAAAATTCAGGCCTAGCTCCCAGAACTGCTTCATAAGGTTTTTTTTTGCTTGCCTTCTCCCCCATCCCCCACCCCCCCTACCCCCCCCCCCCCACCCCACCTCACAGTACTGAGAATTGAACTTCAGCCTCAGGCCTGCTGGGCAAGTGTTCTACCCCTGGTGCTACATCCTTAGCCCTTCTGTTTTGTTTTATATCCGGATACCTGATTACCCATCCTTATCACGAAAACACTAACAATAACAACAAACCCCTTGGAAGTCAGACTTGATGGTGCACATCTATAATCCCAGCACAGAGAGTTAAAGGAGGGTCGGTCATGAGGCTGGAGAGATGTTTCAGTGGTTAAGATTCAGTACTGCTCTGCCAGTGGACAGGAGTTCAGTTCTCACAGCAGGCAACTCAGAAATGCCTGTAAACCAGCTCCAAGGGATCTCTCTCCTCCTCCTGACCTCTGGGCACCTAAGCATATATGCACACAGACAGCACAGATCATAAGTAAAATTAATCATAAACAAAGGGGAAGAGATTAATCAGGATTCTAGCCCAAGAGACTCTGCCTTGAAAGCCTATTTTCTTGTTTTAAAAGCAATCACTCCAATGATTGGAGAACACCAGAAAAACAAAACCAGTGGTCACCCTAACAAAACTCCAAGTAGAAGCCAGGTATGGTGATGTACGTATTTAACCCCAACACTTAGGAGGCAAAGGCAGGTGGATCTCTGTGAGTTAAAGGCCAGCCTGGTCTACATATTGAGTTTCAGGCTGACCAAACAGCAAAAACCCCAGGGAACCACACACCAATATGGTGCTGTTTCACGGCTGGGAGGGGAATGGGTGATTTTTTCCCCCTCTTATTTATAGTCATTTTTCCATGGATCTTTTTCAGATCTTTTTGTTTTATGTGATAGAAATTTAACTTCATCTGGCTAGAGGAAAAGGCACTTGTTGTCTTTCATAACCTGCAATTCTGGTTGAAGCAGCTTTGGGTGGGAATGCATCCAAGGTCCCAGGTGATGTCACCGTGTCTCTGACTCTGTCTCTTCATTCTCTTTCTGGCTCTGCCCACGTGGGTAGCAAGAGGGCCTTCTGCATTGCTCATAGAGTCTCCAGAACTGGCATGCCAGAGCAAACACTGATTGTCCTAGCGTTGTTAGCATGCTCATTCCTGGGCTTGTGGTCAGAAGAGTGGAACAGTCTGATTGGACTCCCCAGAGTCAGAAGCCTGTGGGAGAACATGTGCTAAGGGAGGCTTTTACAGAGGCAGAATTAATTGCAGATGTATGTTGTCTACTTCTGGGCCTTCCATAAATTTAGAGAACACATTTTCAAACACATACACACACACTAAGGATACTATTTACTGAGTATTCTATATTGTATATCTAATTGGACAATTTTCATTACCTATATACAGTAGGTACTCAATAAACTTATTAAATGGTTGTCTTATTTTAATATGCATAATGATAATTCGTATTTTATAGTTAGTGGAAACATAGATGTTAGATGTTTCCCAGGGCCACTCTTTGATAGTCTCATGTAGCTTAAACTGAACTTGAACTCGCAATGTAGCTAATGTTTTGAACATTTGATCTTCTTGCTTTTACCTCTTAAGTGCTAGGATTATGGGTGTGCACCATCATGCCCCTGGGAGGGTCATCGTCTTCTACCTGGTAGAATAGGACCGAGTCTGGCTCCATCTATCTCAGATCCAGTGTGTGTGTTGAACTTCCATTTTTGGAAGCCTCTGTGTCTTCTCAGTTACCTAGTAGAGGAGAGATATGGACGGGTGTCTCCACTCCCTCTTGCTGTGTAAACCAGGATTGTTCTCCTGTCCTTTCTCCTTACATGCCAGGGAGTAGATGGGAGAGATAGCTGTGTCACTTTGCTGTGACTGTCACAAAAGGCCGTGATAACCAGCTGAAGAGGAAGAAATGTTTACATTGGCTCTGGGAGCTTTCAGTCTGGATTTGGGCTGTGGGGAGCACTTCATGGTGGGAACACATGAAGAGCTGTTTATCCCATGTTGGCCGAGGAGGGCTGGATTCCTACAGTTCCCTTCCAGGGCATGCCCACAGTGACCTAGGACTTCCTACCAGACCCTGCCTCTTAAACGTTCTACCAGCTCCTAATAGTGAAAGCCTGGGACCATGCCTTAACACATGGGCCTTTGAGGGACATTCCAGATCCAGACTTCAGCAGTAGCCTTCTAAATTGCCTTTCACTCTTCCTCTCTATTCCTTTGATAGCAAGAAAAAAAATCATTTGGCTTAAGGGCACAGGGCAAGTGATGTATATCCAGGTCACATAGCTAGGAAACGGGAGAGCCTGTACACAAAGAAGGAAATCCCACTCCATATCAGACTTTCTGAACCTGAGCACTCTTGGCATCTGCGGCTGGATAATTTTCCCTTTGCAGGGCTGACTTGTGTCTTTGTGGCAGATGCCAGGGTCATTACTGACTTGTGCTGCTAAATGTGTGTGCAAACCTTGCCAAATGTCCCCGAAGTGGGGACCCAAATCAACCTTTAGTTGAGAAGCTCTGCTCTAAAAATCTTTGTTCCCTATGAATATGTGCCATCCCCAAACTGTTCTTTGAGACATTTGAATTTATTTACGTCATGAGGGCCTGCCAGTTATTCTTCATAATTTCAAGATACAGAAAAAGTAGGCATGATTAACAGTCTTTCAACTAACTTCTTTTCCTCCCTCCCTCCCTCCCTTCCTCCCTCCCTCCCTCCCTTCCTCCCTCCCTCCCTCCCTCCCTCTTTCCCTCCCTTCTTTCTTTCTTTTGGGCTGGGGATGGACCCCAGGACCTTGTGCTTGTTAGGCAGGTGACACTCCCAGGCCCCACTTCCAGTATTGTCCTCCATGGCTTTCTCCACACTGAAGCCAGATCTCTTCCGAAAGGGGACAAGATGATGTCATCTCCTGTTTGCCTTGCTCTGGTGACTTCCTAAAGACCTGGAACCAAATCCTCCCTGCCTGGGCCTGCCAACCTCTCAGTCTGATTTCAGGTTCCTCTTCTCGCTCCCTGTCCTCATGGTATCAGCTTTCGGTCCCTCTGTGGAACAGGTGTATTAGGAGCGGGGCATCCCTGGGCAAGGTCTGGAGGTGGCTGTTGGCTGGAGTAAGGGACTTACTCAGCCTCTCTCTGACCCGGTGACACCAACAGTGTCACTTTCTCAGCCCTCCTGAAGTTGCTTCTGGAAGGTGGGCTGCTTCATGGCTGGGCCGCGTATCCTGGAGGCAGTGGGCAGAGCCTCTCGGTTATTTAGCAGGAAACTTCATTTTCCCTTTCCACAAAGAAAGCTCCTGCCCTCTGTGTAACTCTGAGTGATTTTCCATTATGAAGGTCTTTCTGTACTGAGGACATAGGAAAGCTTGTAATGAGATTTGTTTGTAAGGGGAATAGAAAACGTAAGGGCCACTCTCTTTTTCATCACTTTAACGATTCTCAAATACTTCATCCTGCAAAGGCTGTATTTTCACTGCCTCCTAAACACCAACTCATAAACAATCTTTTTGATAGTTTTCTAGAAAGTGCTACTTTTGCAGAACAAAGGTGGGAATGAGTCTAAGGAGAGAAACAGCAGACATGCATCAAGAACCTATTGTGTGCTAGGCAAGAGTCTTCCCCTCCCCCTCCTTACTTTCTGAGACAGAGTTTCCTTCTGTAGCTTATCCTAACCTCAAACTCACACTGTAGCCCAGGCTGGCCTCAAAATTCAAAATGAGTACAAAGTTCCTTTCAACCAGTGATCTTCCTGTGACAGCCCCCAAGTGATGGGATTACGGGTGTGAACCTCCATGCTGGTGTGTACCTCATCTTGTGATTTGCACCACAGTTGCACGCTAGGGGATGCTGCTCAAGCATCCCTGAAACTCTGAGGTCAGCAAGGTTTGCTCACCTGGGTCCAGATTCACATTCCTCCGACCTCACAGTCCATGTTTCCTAAATGATGTCCCACTGCCTCTCCTCCTGTCTTGCTCAGCATTTTCTTTCTACGCTTCAGCCCATGTGACCCCCATCTACAGTCATGCCTAGTGTCTCAGCTTGTCATTTCTCTCTCGAACTTTCCTGTGTAAGTTCCTGGTTGCACGGAACTTAAGCCTTTCTAGGAGGGGAACGTATATCGTCAGCCAGGGAGAAGTCACGGCATTACATGGGGAAACTAGTCTAGGATGAGACAGCTCTGGGTTAACGAGGAGCCTTGATGGCAGGAACTTTCCTGTCTAGTCTGACAGCTAGAATCAGTGTTTTTAGCTTTAGTCACACTGCTCATGTTCTGGCAGGGACATCTCTGTGCAGTTTGGGTCATGGACCTGTCTCTTGGTAGGGAATTAAGCTTTTCCTGGGGAGACATAAGCAAACATCTCTTTATCCCAGCCAGGTCACTAATGGCCAGCCAAATTAACCATTCCATCCAAGTCTAGCTTGGAGAACCAATGAGTTTATGGGGCTCAATTAGAGGAGCATGGGTGAGGGGCCTAGAGATGTGTGTGACCTCAGAAGAGCTGTTATCACTAACGGGTCCTTCCCAGTGTGGGTAGCGACCTCCTAAAGTCACACACATGGAGTCCCCTGCTTTTCAGTCAGCCTTCCAGCTCCTCTATACTCTAGAACCGCCTGAGACCACTCGCAGCTAGGTTGGGACTACAGCCAGTTGACGGGACATAGGAAGTGCGGCCAGAATCTCAGTGAGGACCTAATGACCCTTTCTAGGTTCTCTTTTTATGAGGGAGCAGCAACAAGCTGGGGGTGTGGAGAGTCTTGTGTGGGTAGTCCCAGCTGAGCTCCACTCAGAGGACAACATTCCACATTTCCACCCAGGGACTGGACTCAGGGGCTCACAAAGGGTAAATCCTGGGGAGCCAGAACATCCCTGTGTCCACACAATGCAAGTTCACCCCTCTCTGTCCTTGCAATTATCCGCCACTCAGCATAGTTGTCTTTTACTCCAGCCCCACGCTGGAACACCAAAATGGTGTTGTTTTCCTCTTTTTCCTCTTTTGGCTTTTTTGTGGGGGGGCCACCACCCAGCTCCCAAATAAATCACACACAGAGACTTATTATTATTTATAAATGCCCAGATTTATCTTGTCTTCTTTCTTGCCAGCTTTTCTTAAATTATCCTGACTGCCCTTGCCCCTGGGCTTCTTCCTTCTCTTCCATCTATATATCTTATTTTCACTCTTACTCTGTGGCTGGCTGGCCGGCCCCTGACATCCTCCTCTCCTCCTTTCTCCTATTTATCCTATGTGCCTGCCAGCCCCACCTATCCTTGCTCCTGCCTTGTTATTGGCCAATCAGGGCTTCATTAGACCATCAGGTGTCTCAGACAGGCAAAGTAACACAGCTTCACAGAGTTAAACAAATGCAGCATAAACAAAAGCAACACAGCTTTGCATCATTAAACCAATGTTCCATAGCATAAACAAAAGTAACACACCCTAAAATAATATTCTACAACAATTCGAGTTCTCTGTTTGGCTGTTGAGACACCCTTGAATTTGGTATGTCTTTCTCCAGCCCCATCTCTTTTGACTTCTGTTAATGGAGCCCGTGTCCAGCCACCCCTGAGTGGCGACCATGGAGTTGGTGTTTTTATCCCTTTCTTTCTTCTCCTTGGTTCTGCTGAACTAAGAGCTCCTCACGCAGGATGTCTTGATTTTCCCCTCCCATCTCTTTTCATCTTCATGGCTTCTTCTCAGGTCACCTGCTTGTTACTTGGACACTTAAATCTTCTGATGTCCTCCTTTTCCTAGGGATGGCTGTTGAGTTAAAGCATGCCTGTAAGCATGGAGCTACCACTCTGGTTAACAAACAGATACCTAGGCTGGCACATACTGAGTACTCTACAGGTGGTGGGTGTTACATATTGAAATAGCTGATAGTTTTGTTTGTCTGTCATCTATCTGCCTACCAATCATCTCTCTGTCTGTCTGTCTGTCTATGTATGTTGTATGTATGTATGTATGTATCTATCTATCTATCTATCTATGCTGGATATGTCAACACAAACTAGAGGTGTCTGAGAGGAGAGAACCTCAAATGAGAAATCGCCTCCGTAAGATCAGACTTTGGGCAAGTACATAGAGTATTTTTTTTTTAATGATTGGTGGGAAAGGGCCTAGCCCATTATGGGTAGTGCCACCTCTTTGCTGGTGGTCCTGGGTGCTATAAGAAAGCAGGCTGAGCAAGCCATGAGGAGCAAGCCAGTAAGCAGTACCCCCTTATACCTCTGTATCAGCTCCTATCTCTAGGTTCCTACCTGGTTTGAGTTCCTGCGTTGGCTTCCCTCCGTGGACTGTGACTTTGGTTATGTAAAGCGAATAAACCCTTTCCTTCCCAAGTTGCTTTAGGTCATGGTGTTTTATCACAGCAGCAGTAACCCTGACTAACACACTATCTGTGAATGACTAACTCCTCAAGACATGCCTTCTCTCAGATGGGCGCTCTCATGACTCCCATATTAGAATTAGGAAACTGTTCGCATGCTGGAGATTTAATCCCCACACTTGTGTGCTGATGGTATTTTGCAGTGCTGGGAATGGATCCCAGGGCCTCTCACATGCTAGGGAGTAAGCATCTCCCTACCACTCAGCTCCAGCCTCAGTCCTGCTAATGGTATTTGGAAATAAGCCAAGACCTTTGGAGAATAATTGAGACAGATGAGATCATGAGAGTGGGGTGTGCCCATGATGGGATTGGTGGCTTCATAAGACCAGGACGAGATGTCTGCTTTGTTGTGAGCCCCGAGGCCCTTGCCAGGTGCTGAGAGGATGTAGTGCCATCTTCTAGCCTATAGAATTACAAGTTAAACCAGCCTTTCTCAGTATGACCAGAGTAGCGGTACATGCCTGTAATCCCAGCATTTGAGAGGTATAGGTAGAAAATCAGGAGTCTTAAAGTTGGTCATGGGTCCAGAGTGAGTTTGAAACCAACAGAGCTACCTGAACCCCCCTGTTCCCCCACACAAGACTCTACCCAAACACAAACAAACAATGACAACACAAAACAAGAGAGAATAAATTACTCAGTTTGGGTATTTTATTATAGCAACAAAAAATGGACTGAGATTAAAAGCCTACAAAGCAAGTAAATTATTTAACTGGGTTAGAAAAGTTGAATGTATTAGCCACGTGTGTTATCACTGTTAGAAAATGCTCAACAGAAACAATTTAAGAGAATAAAGATTGCTCATGGTGACACAGAAACAAAGAGAATATGTCCAAGGTCCCCAAATGCCAAAAACTGGTCTAGGAGATAGATATTCACATAACACACAGAGGTGTGCACAGTGTTATACTATAGTTTTGTGTTGGAGATGTTTTGAAAAGCATCCCTAGTTGGAGAGGAAGCTCAGTGGTAGAGCCTAGTATGTGTGAGGCCCTGGATGCAATGCCCAGAACATGTCTAAAATGACTCCTCAGGGTAGTGAGGACAAAAAAAAAAAAACCTGAGAAATTGAGATGCAGTGTTGGCAGGCAAATTATATGTCTGGTCTTACATGGATGCTCAAATATTTACTCAACACCTTTGTATTTTGAGGTACTGTGATTGGAATGGCCCCCTGGACTGCCCTATCCAGCAGCATGGATCCTGTGTAGCAATTATGTCCTCTGTGTGGTGTGGAGTGGGCCGAGAGTAAGGGTACCTAGGGAACTTGGGAAGCTGACGCAGTTCGTACTGGGAGTGATAGCCTTCCAGAGGAGACTGGGGATATTGGTGTGGACGAGAGCCCTGAGGGAGGAGAGGTGAAAGATGACCCAGAAAGACAAATTAAGGATGCAAGGATTTGGATCTGATGTTTGCAGACGTGATTAAGAGTGTTGAATTAGGGTAATTAACTTGGATTATCCAGATGGTCCCTTAGCACAATATTGAGTGTTGTTATAACAGAGGCAGAGGGAGTTTGGAGACCACAGAGGACAAAGCGGCATAAATATAGAGCAGGGAGAGGTTTGAAGATGCTGGCCCTGAGGACGGTATGGTGTGGCCACAGGATAAGCAATTCCAGCAGCACTGAATCTGGAAGAGGCTAAGAGAAGATTCCTGCCTAGAACCTCTGGAGCGGGTGGCACCTTCCTTTTAGACTATTGGTACCGATATTGGCCCTCGCAGGACATAGGTGAAAGCCCTGCCATCAACCCCAGGGCAGAGTTGGACCTGGGTGTGTGTGTGAGCTCCCCGCTATGCTTATCTTCCAGTTCTGCTTTCAGCACATGTATCTACCCTTTCTCATGGACTCGGTGGGGGAGCGGGCAGCAGGATTGGAAGAACACTGAGGGATGGTAAAAGCAGTATTGAAGATCATCACTCCTCAAGGCTCAGGAAGGGACAGTGTGGGCACTGGGGGTGGGTTTAATGGGCTCCATGGTCTGGAAGCAGCTGTGTGACATATGTGGACAGGACGTCACTGGATTTCTTTCCTGTTTCTTTGCAGCTGCCCCCAGACACCAGCAAGGCCTCGGAGGACCTCCGGCCATCTGCAGCTCCTCTCCCCCTAGGCCCCAGCTTTGTGCAGAGCCACTTTCAAGCACAGTACAGGTGAGAGGTGCCATGTTCTTCAAGTGTGGTCTCCAGGGGCTCTGCACAGAGGTCGCCTGTGTCTCATGGCCCTTGACCCTGCACGACAAAACACACAAAGACCCTTCCCTTTCCTGTTGCAGCCCCAGTCAACCTCCTGTGGACTCCAGGCCTTGAGGATTTCTTCTTTTCCTTTTTGGCTCTTGGAATGGCCCTCTGCTCCCCTTTAAAGGAAGGAAGGAGTGGCTGGGGGATGGTCCTGTAGAGCAGGGATGTGAAAGCCAGAATATCACCAGTTGAAGTCATACCGAAGCAAGGGGGGCCCTTCCTGTTTGCGCAGCATGGCTTGAGTTAGTCATTGTGAGCTCAACACAGCATGGGGGATATAGAAATCATCACATGGCCATGTGTATTTTTATAGGAAAGTAGGGAAGTTTGAAAGAATTATGGTGTTTAGCAAAAATACCTGCAGCAATGAGACTTCAAAGAGGAGACCCTAGCCCCAGACTGCTCGGCCACATGTGTCTTTTCATGGACTTTGATGACTGAGGAGGATCAAATGGGGGGGGGCGCATGCTCAACAAAGATGACTACAAGCTTCAGGGTGAGAATGAGCATAGAGGTTGAGACTTACGGAAAGCCACTGGATACAGAAAACCTCTTATGTGAGATTTCCACATCTGTGTATTTCAAACATTTTAAACTCCATATTTTAAAGACTGAAACAAAATCAAAATTGAACATGTGAATGGTATGATGATTTGACATGTGTCCTGTAATATATAATGTCATGCTAAATGTATGTTTCTTTAAACATTCATCATTGGTTTATGGTAAAAAAAATCTCATAAAATATATAATATTTAGTTATTTTTAATGATTTCACCTACATGGTTAAATACAGGACTTTGTGATACCTGTGAGCTCATGCACATTGGTCAGCATTTCTTCATCTGCCATCCCTTCTCCCTGATCTCTGGTCATTGCCATTCTATTCTCAACTTCTGTGAGAGGGTTGTTTTTTTGTTTGTTTGTTTTTTTACAGTCAATGTGTAGTATTTGCATAGGATTTGATAATACATTTTTGCTTTATATACTATTAAAATATAGTGCTTATGATCTATGTGAACTTAGAATGAGGCTATAGCTCAATGGTAAAGCACATGCTTGGTGTATACAAGGTCATGTTCTTGAACCAGTTGGATACCATACAACTGAAGTTTGATACAATACAACTCTATGGGTTTGATTCTCACTTCCATAAGATAATACATACATTCACACACACATATATATGTACATACATACACATATAATACAAATACTTAGCTAATTATTTAGAATTTTTCCCCCCAAATCACACATCTCTTGCTACCTGAGATAAATTCAGGTAATAGAAAGGTCACTCTGGGGCAGGAGATGTGGCTCAGCGGTTAAGAATACATCGCTCTTTCAGAGGCCAAGTTTGGATCCCATCATCCACATCAGGCAGCTCACAAACTCCCATAATTCCTGTTCCAAAGGATCTGACAGCTCTGTCTGGCCTCTGCAGGCACCTGCACATGCTCACATGCACACATATACATTTATAGAAAAGAAGTCAAGGTCATGTTCTTGGACAAGTTTGATACGATGCCCCTCTATGAGAGGACATGCGCCTGCTTTTGTTTTGTGGAAGCTAAAAGAAGCAAAGAGTGAAGCAGGGATTAGGATGCTTTCCAAACCCAAGAATCTATCCTGTGACCTGTTGGCACAACCTGGCACACGGTGATCTGAAGAGGTGGGGGGTTCTGAAGAGAAACTGGGCAGCAGAGGGAACCCCCACAATGCCACGCCCAGCAGCCAGCAAATGCTACAGGACACACTGCTTTTATCAAAGCACTACCTTGACTCTCCTGGGTGAGTTTAGCAGCAGTGTGAGCTGGGGACACTGGGGTGTGATGTGAGGCCTCATGCTCCAGCACTACCAGCAAGCAAGGAAACAAAAGGTCATGGGGACTGTTTTCTAAATCACTGCTAACCTTCTGGTAACTTCTCTCTATTTAGATAACTTGTATTCCCAAGGTCTAGCAATGAGCAGATGCCTCAAGTAAATCCACAGATTCATCTTCTTGCTTTCCCTATATCATTATTGTTGTTGTTGCTATTATTTTTATTGTTATTATTATTTTCTTTGAGATGGTGTCTTGCTATATAGCCTAGGCTGGCCTGGAGCTTTTCCACCCTTCCACCTCAGTTTCTCGAGTACTAGGATTACAGCTGTGAAACACCACATCTGGCTCTTGGGAAGTTTTTAAACTTAAGATGCCAGAGACCCTCCTTTCCCTCATTGAAATAAAATCCATGGCAGAAAAACCTAGAAGTCTGGACCTTGAAAAAGTGCTTGTGGGTTAGTGCAAAGGCTCAGAGTAAAGGTACTTGCTGACAAGCCTGGTGACCTGAGTTCCATGACAGAACCCTCATGGTGGAAGGAGAGTACCCACTCCAAAGGCTATTGTCTGACTTGACATGCATACCGTGGCATGCCCACCCACCCCCTATGAAATAAATAAATGTAATTTAAAAAATTTTATTTGTGTGTTTTGGGGGCTCAGGGAAGCTAAGCACCAGGGATAAAAAGACCCTGAGACCCCTTTGGCCTGAAAGTTGGTATGCAATGTTTTTTCCCATCCTTAGTATGCTGAGACATGAGACTAAACTCTCCTCCTCTCCTCAAAAGGGGAAAGTCCTAAAACATAAAATTAAGCATCTTACTTCAACAAGTATCCATTTAATTTTGTTCTTTGGTACATTCTGGTCTTGAACTTCTGGGTTCTGGTGTTCTTCCTGCATCAGCATCCACACCTAGCTCAATTATACATTTAAAATATACAACCCAGTGCCATGTATGCTCACAATGCTGGGTAGTCATCCTCTCCTTCTGGTTCCTGAAAACTTTTATCACCCAAAGAGAAAATCTGGTACCCAGGAGTTAGTCACATTCCACTTCCCTTTCTCCCAGCTTCTATAAACCATCACTTTGTATTGTGTCTCTTTGGCTTTCCTATTTTACATATTTCATACCAACAATGATACAATAAGTAGCCTTGTGTGTCTGGGTCTCTCTTGGTACTTGACGTGATACTTTCAAAGTATCAGGGCTCTGTTTCTTTTTTATGGCTGGGTTGTATTCCACAGTGTAGATGTACCACATTTTGTTCACCTCTTTTCTATAGCCAGGTAGCTTGGTTGATTCCCCTCTGACTCTTGTGAACAAGGCTGCAAGGAACATTCATATATAAGTTATGAGCTGAGCACCTCTCTTCTTCTGTGTGATGAAGGTTTGTCTCTGTTCTTTACCCTCACAGATCTTCCTTGACTTGTCCTCACTGCCTGAAGCAAAGCAACACCTTCGATCCTTTCCTGTGTGTGTCCCTTCCCATCCCCTTGCGCCAGACGAGGTACGTGAGTGTCCTGAGTGTCATGGCATGCCCGCCGTACTCGACCCTTCCCTCCTCTCTCCTGGGTACCCTCTGGTTCTCAATCTGCCATGTTTCACTTAGCGTTTCTCTAGAGACCAGTCCTGCAGTCAGGTGACACTCAGTACTGAATGGGTAAGTAAAGAGAGTCCATTCTTTAGCTGAGGAAGGAACGTGAACAGGATTCTTGTATATGTCCATGCTGTGTCCAGACTTAGGTCTTTGGCCCTTTCAGGAGCTGGCACAGGCTCCACCCTGCATCAGACAAGGGCCTCTGTTGCTGCAACCTCTTCCCCATTGTACCTCAGAATCCCCTTCCTTCTTTATAAAGGGACAGGGAATTTTTAATTCATTCATTGTTTTTTTTTAAGACAGAGACTCATTCAGTAGCTCAAGCTGGCCATCCCTCTGCCTTACCTTCCCAAGTGCTGGGTCTATAGGTATGAGCTACCACATGTGATTATAGGGAAATGATTTTATGAAGGAGCAAAGAAAGAGGAAAAACAGCTTTTTTGGTAAAGATGAGAAGAAAGTGGTGTTGGGATGAGCGAGCAGTGGGCTGCAGTATCCAAAAGCAAGGAACTGGCAGTGTGGCCCCTTTCCTGGAAGCCCATTTTGCCACCAGCACAGATGGCCAGGCCAGTGTCTTGGAAGGTTGGTGAATCTGAATGTGGAGCCAGTCCTGGCATGGAGACGGAGGTGCTTATCACTCCGTCCTCGGCCCTATCCCTCCTTTGTATTCCCGTGGACATCTTCATGTGTAGGGTCTAGCAGAGCACAAGTCCTTTTCAACCAGGCCCCACTCCCTCTGCTCAGACCTGCCGTGCTGTCTCTGCCATCAGCGCCACAAGCAGAACTGTTATCTTAAACAGTAACGTAGGTCATACTGCCACTGGCAGCCTTGGAAAATGTAGGCTGAGACTGAGGACCCTTGGTAGCACCGTGGTTAAACAGTGACCCTGAGACAGACTCACCAGGTTCTTACCCTCGCTTATGACTTGGCTAATTACCACAGCACGGCAGACTCCCCCAGGAGTGGCCTCTGAGGGCTGTGGGGGGAGTGGAAGCGGAGATTGACAAGGGGAATTCTCACCAAGGACAAGTCACCAATGCAGTTGATTTCTTTTGGAAGGAGCAGCTTGGCTGTTTTGCTTTACAAAAAACAGGTTGTTTGTGTTGTTTTTTGAGACAAGGTTTCTTTGTGTAGCCTTGACTATACTAGAACTAACTCTATAGACCAGGATGGCCAGCCTTAACTCACAGAGATCCACCTGCCTCTGTCTCCCAAGTGCTGGGATTAAAGGTGTGCACCACCCCCGCCCAGTCTTGTTGTTTGCTTTTTAATCCTTTCTCTTTAACTGTTACAGTCATGGGACCAGAGATTTTTGCGATTTGGCTTCCACTCAAAACCCTTTTATGTTCAGCCCTCTGGAAAAGCAGTTTGTGAGATTTGGCTCTTTTCTGCCACCTATTGGAAGGGTACCTAAAGTGCAAGGACCCAACTAGCAAATTGTGTATAAATGCTGTCTGTCCCCATGGTCCTGGTGCTGGTGACCATTTGTGTCACCTTAACGGACATTAAGGATTTTGGCTCCTCTTCTGTTTTCCAGATTCTTGAGTGTCACTTTGGTCTTCCCCTCCAAGAGCCAGCGGTTTCTGCGGGTTGGCCTGGCTGTGCCAATCCTCAGCACTGTGGCGGCCTTGAGGAAGATGGTTGCTGAAGAAGGAGGCGTCCCTGCAGAGGAGGTGTGCTGGAACTGCTGGGCCTGGCCACTGGGAGACAGAATGCTGACTGGGCCAGCCGCCCAGGCTAGTGTGTGGTTCCCAGATGACTCGAGCATGACTCACTGGCTTCTGTTTGATTAGTTGTCCCCTGGGTGTTTGTGGTGACCTGGCCTTGACATCTCCCTGCATTATTTATCACTCAGGGTGACCGCAAGGGAACACTTTGCCATTCAGAAGGTGATGGAGATTGCCATCCAACAGCAGCTAACCAGTCATACTTACTAAGTGAGGGGCATTGTCCTACGGCTGAGCCCTCCCTCCCTCCCTTCCTAAGATAATAGAGTCTCACTACATGGTTCTGGCTAGCCTGATACTCCTGTATATAGTTCAAAGTGGCCTTAAATTTGTAGCCACCCTTCTGCCTCCGCCTCTCTAGTGTTGAGGTTATAGGCATGCACCACTGTGCTCTGCTGTGCTCGGCTGACTCCAAGAGTCAATCTTATCCACTCTTGTAGAGAAGAAATTACAAAGGTCTTCATCTTGGAAGCAAGGAAAAAGGTTCAGAGGGGTTAAATGAATGGTCTTAGGTCATACAAACAAGGAGGTGTCTAAGCTGGGGTCTGAATGATGTGGTTTTGTGCATCTCTACTTCTGGGAATATCGACCGGGTACCAAAGGGATGCTCAGTGAGATGCAGACACTGAATGTAATGTGAGAGAAGATGGAGAAGGTGGGAACAGAAACAAGAAACAAGACTCTGTTTTGTCTTGCTTGTTTGAGACCACCTCACTGTATAGCCCAAGCTGACGTTGACCTCATGATCCTCCTGCCTCAGCTTCACAAGTACAGGGGTGAAAAGATGTATGCCACTAAGCCTCTCTTCCTCCCTCCATCCTTCCCTTCTTCCCTCCCTCCCTCTCTCCCTCCCTCCCCCCTCCCTTCATGAGGCAAGGTCTCACTCTGTAGTTTAGGCTGACTGTAGAACTCACTCTGAAGCCCAGCATGGCCTTACACTCGTGGCGGTTCTCTTCCCTCAGCCTCCTGAGTGCTGGAGGTTACATGTGTGAGCTGCCACACTCGGCTTGATTTTGCTTTCTAAGGAGTCCTGGTGATGAGCTGGCTTTACTATGCCTGGAAGACCCCTGTGACATGGTGGGATAAAAGTGATCCATTGACAAGCAGCGTGGCAAGACAAGAGAATGCATGAGTTTCCTCATTGCTGTGACCAAATATGCAGCAAAGGGCAACTTCTGAGAGAAGGAGATTATTCCTGCGCACAGTGGGAGGGCTACAGCCTGTCCTGGCGGGGAAGGTGCGGTGGCAGCTGTGTGAGGCAGCTGCTCACACTGCTCTCTGCAGTCAGGAAGCAGAGAGAGATCAACGATGGTGCTCAGCTTGCCTTCTTTGCATTCAGTCTGGCCCCAGGCTCACATTCATCATGGGTTTTCATCTTCAGCTAAACCTTTCTAGAAACACATTCCTGAGTATTTTCAGGTATGTTTCCATGGTGATATGAAATCTAGTCGAGTTGACAGTTTAGATGAGTAGGGTTCTAGCTGTGACTCAGCTGCTCTCCAGCTCTCTGGCCAGAATTCTGTTTCTTTAACTCTAAAATTTATGCTTCCCAGATAGCCTGGTAGGACCTTTTAAAGTTAAACAAACGAAAACACGTGTAACCTTTTTTTGTTAAGTAATAGTGTACATACAACAAAGAATATACATCTTACGGTTGTGGATGTCTGTGTATTTGTATAACCACCCTGGTTGCCAAGGCTTCCACCATTCCAAGGCTGCCTCCTACCTCTACCTCAGGAGCCCTGACCTCCATCTCTACCTGTAGCATTGTTATGAAACTCTCACACAGGGGGAAAATAATGCATATTTTCCTTGTAAATTCTAAAGTGGAGCTTACGAGATGGCTCAGAAGGTAATGGTGCTTGCCATCAAGACTGATGTCCCGAGTTTGATCTGCCAGCGCCTTCGTGGAGGGAAGAGAACTGACTCTGGAAAGTTGCCTTCTGACTTCTAAACACATGCTGTGGTTGACCTTACCCTTGCAAAATAAATAAATGTAAAAAATGAGTGAACTTTTAAGTGTTGTAGGGAGGGGTGTGTGTGTGTGTGTGTGTGTGTGTGTGTGTGTGTGTGTGAAGAGAAAGAGGGAGAGCAATTTGAGAGAATTGACAGTAATGAAAAGGTCGAAAGGGACAGTCTGGCAGAGGCAGAGATTGAGCAGCAGCAGGACTGCTAGCAGTGTGAAGCACCAGATGCTTTGCGAGGGGGATGGGACTCACATGGTGTCAGTAGAGCATGGGCAGTCTGACTGGAGCTGAGGCGTCCCTATTGATGTTTTGATTTATTTGATTGGCATGCTTGTGAATGGGGATGGAAGTATCTGGGCATATTTATTCTATACCTTGTGATTTATGATACATATATTAATTTTTTATTTACCAAAGCTAGTGTGAATAATGAGCAAAACCTAATGTTAAAAATTCTCGAAACTACACAGAGATCTTGGATTTGCTCTGATTCCCTTACACCTTTTTGGTTTAGATGTTAGTGCAGATAGAAGCCAGGTATTGGTGTCGCATGCCTATAATCCAGCATTTGAGCGGCTGAGGCAAGAGGATTGCTGCCAGGTTCCAGGTCAGGCCAGCTGGGGACATGTACTCAGGGCTTGTCTTGACTCTGACCCTGACCTGAGCCCCTCAAAAATAAATTATTGTAGATAGTAAGATAGTAGTTATTAGTGTTCTATCATATATATTTCCCCTCCCCTTACTTTAGTTGAATGTAGTTTTATTTGGTCTTATGGTTTAAATGTAAAGATTTAAACTCAATGTGTACTAATTTCCTTGATTCATTTCTCTTTTATAACTCAAATTTTTCTTCTCATTCATCCTTTTTTTTTAAAAGCCGGAACTATATCTTTTATAAGAGAACTTCCCAGGCAATATGTCTCAAAGGGGCTCTATGCGATGTGTATATTGAGGTGCTGAATTTGAATTGGTTTCTGGGGCAGCCGGGTCTCTTTTCTGTAGTGTAAAACCACCTGCTTCTTCCTGTGTTCCATGAACTTGTTTTTCAGGCATGACATTGTATGAAAAAAGTTAGTAACCCCATATCTAGTTCCTCTTAATTGAACACTGTTCATGAAAAACACTTTATTTATCCAAAGTGGTTTTTTTTCTACTTGTGCTGTGGTAGGTTAGCTAGGTATAAAACTTTAGTTTTGTGTGTGTATGTGTGTGTATGTGTATGGTTGCAGTTAATACATCTGTGGTTAATCTAATTATTATGTTTGCTATATTTTATGATTTAAATATGTAGGCTCTTGGAAGGAAAGAAGAAATAAGTTTTAAGACTCTGAGTTGTTTATTTTTAAAGCTTTATTGTGTGTGTGTGTATGTATGTATACACATGCACATATGTGGGGTCTAGAGGGCACCTTGCAGGATTTAGTTCCCTCCTTCCATCATGTGGGTTCAAACAGGCTCAAACAGGATCAAACAGTTCATCAGGCTTGGCAACAAATACCTTCCCCCACTGAGCCATCTTGCTGACCCTGTTTTTGGATTCTTATCTATTGGGTTCTTTTTGAGAAAATGATCCTTCTCATTTCAGGTGATCTTGGTTGAACTGTATCCCAATGGATTCCAGCGGTCATTCTTTGATGAAGAGGATCTGAATACCATTGCGGAGGGTGATAATGTGTATGCTTTCCAAGTCCCTGCCTTACCCTGTCCAGGGACACTCTCAGGTACAGTAGTGCCTGGAATAATTTGTTTTGTGGGAGTAATGGGTTTGAGGGGGTCTTCTCAGGGTACAGAGACTGCAGATCTTTAGCTTCAACATTCCGAATTGTTGGGCTCATTTCCTCTGTAATTTGATCTACAGATGATGGATATTAAAATCTCAGGGAGTATTAGAATTACAAGAAAGGCTACTTAAAGCAGACTTCTGGGCCCCTTACTCACATTTTCTGATTTAAAGATCTGAGGGGGTGTTTGAGTATATGCATGTCAATCACTGGAGCCCGAAAACCTGCCTGTCAATCACATTTCCTGAAGATGCTGAATATGCAGATCCTGGGACCATTCTCTGGGAACCACTCCCTGCTTAGCAGGAGGTCCTGCTGTCATCTTTGTCTCAGGACTGTTACAATTCTCAGTCCTTATCGGACTTCTACCAGTTGAGCTATAGATAGGTAAAGAGATCAGACAGGCAGGCAGACAGACAGACGGACACACACACACACACACACACACACACACACACACACACACACAGCTGTTGCTGTTAGCAGTTCCTATTTCCTAATGCTTGTAATTTTCCTGAACCTCTGACTGGTGAATGTGGTCATTTTTTTTTTTTCAGATGACCTTCATTGTCCATTAGTGAACATTTTAGCACAATTAGCTGGTTTAGAAGACCATGTTTTAAGACCCCATTGCAGCATGCATCTGTCATAGGAAGGCAGCTTGTTTGTTTCCTTGCCTCCTGGCAGCTCAGACCCGAAATAACCACACAGAAACTATATTATTTGCAATACTCTTTGGCCAATAGCTTAAGAATATTTTTTACTAACTCACATCTTTAAATTAATCCATCTCCATTAATCTGTGTATCAGCACATGGCTGTGGCTTACCAGCAAAGTTTCCTCATGTCTATCTCTGGCAGCCTCCATAGCTTCTCCTTGACTCTGCCTTCTTTCTCCCAGCATTCAGTTTAGTTTTCCCCACCTAGCTCTGTTCTGCCCTGCTATAGGCCCAAAACAGTTTCTTTACTAACCAGTGGTATTCACAGCATACAGAGGGGAATCCCACATCATGCAGCAGCCTTCACTTACTGGCAGATTCCCTTTTTTGAGTTTCTGTTACCTATACCCCTATGCTCTAAAAACATTAAAAGAAAAATTTTGGAAATATCTATTGCTAATGTGTGTGTATCTGTTTTAAGGTTCTAGGGAATGAAACCTGGGGATTTATGCATGTTTGTCAAATAGTCACTCCACCACTGAGCTATGCCCCAGCCTCACAACTGATGGATATTGAATAACCTTTAGGATAGTAACTTATTATCATCCTATTTTATTATTTGTGTTGTTATTCTCTTACTATATCTAACTTACAAATGAATATATATCATAGGTAAGAATGGCAGGGAAAAAGCCTAGGGTTGGTAATGTGAATGGCAGCTGCCACAGCTCAGATGAATCCTGTGCTCTGAGCATTTGTCCTGAGGTAGCCTAGGCAGTGAGCTGTGGGAAGCAGATGTTTTGATGTTCTCTGAGTCAACAGGAGAATTCTGGGCTGCATAATCCAGAACAAAACACTGATTGACCTTGACTGTTTTGCAACCCAGGGAAATAAACCCTAACTTCACATTCAATCATGGGTGACACATGTTTTTCTTGAAAAAAAAAAATCAGTATTTCAGAATTGACAGGAACAAAAGACTAGCTCAGGTCCTCTCCTTTGTCTCTGGTAGTGGGTGCTCTAAGGTTCTTTTGGATGAACACATAAAAACAACCCAAGTAATTTGAAGGTATTTTCCAGATTGCTTTTGCAAATTGCTACTTAAACCCTGGCTCATCTTTTAAAATCATTGACTGACTACAACCACAAAATGATATCATATGTATATGAATTGTATATGCCAGGTGCCAACTGACTCAATGCCGAGAGCCTCACCATCTCCCTTCAGAGTCCCCTGGTGTCATTCCCCCATGGTGAATAGATGCTCTGGTGTCATTCTCTCCTTCAGCTCATCCATCTGGTCTGTCAGTGTCACCGCGCTTGGCAGTCCGTGATAGCCAGCGGTTCTCGAAGCCTCTCCACAGTGAGAGGGTGCTCATCCTCTTCTGTAACCTGGTAGGGTCAGGGCAGCAGGCAAGCAGGTATGTGAGTCTCTTTCCTGTTGTCATGTGATGATTGGGATTCTTCCCTCCCTCCCTCAGTTTCTCCCTCCCTCCTTGACTCCATCCCTCCCTCTCTTTTTTCATCTCATGTAGCCCAGGCTGGCCTTAAACTCACAATGTACCCAAGACTGACTTAGAACTTCTGATCTTCATGTCTCTATTGCACCGGTGCTGGGATTACAGGGGTAGATCACTGTATTGGGCTCTATCCTTGGATTCTACCTAGAATAATTTTAACTGGATAAAGTTAAGTATCTATTCCCAGTGTTAATAAAGCAGATGATGAGAAAACAGTGCTCCTGAGCTAGTGGATTAGCTATAATTGCCTTGAGCAGAAGGCTGACACCGTCCTTAATTAAACATCAGAGGCTTGCTGTTAATTGCAAGAGAAATTGTGACTGCCCACACCACTATTTTACATCGTGTCACGAGGTTCTAGCAGCAGCCATGTAGTGCAGAAAACTGGCTACAAGAGGCAAGTGAGCCGTGGCCAGGCGCACCTGTAATCTCAGTTAGTCAGGAGGCTGAGGCAGGAGGATTGTGAGTTCAGCCTAGGCTACACAGTAGACCCATCCCTGGGGGAGGAAAAGGGTGGTAGAAGTAGAGATAAAAACCCCACTGTTTGTTGTTTGGTAGTCTGTCTAGAAGACATGAACTAGAAAGTGATTCAAACTAATTAAAGGGTCAGGAAAGTGATTGGCTATATTATAAATATTAAAAAAAACAGACAACTTTCTAATATAATCAGATAAAGTGTTTTGAAGGAAGCTGTGGCTGTTTGGGGTGATGGCTATTACCCTGATTTGTTCGTTCTACAATGTATACATGTATTGAAGCATTGCATTGTGCCCTGTACATACGTTTATTTATCATCTGCCAACTAAAATGCAAATATTCTGGGGACTTGAGGGATGGCTCATTGGTTAAGAGCACTTGCTGTTCTTGAAGAGGACCCAGTTTGGTTCCCAACATCTCCTGTGGCTCACAACCATTCATAGACCCATCTGACATCCTCTTCTGGCCTATACAGATACTGGGCATGCTATATACATACATGCATCCAGGCTAACTATTCATACACACAAAATAAAATAAGAAATCTTAAAAAAGAGAGAGAGAAAGAGATGGGAGTGGGGGACGGAGAGAGAACTCTAGTATGGCTCAGCGATACAGCGTGTGCTTAGCATATACAAGGCCCTGGAACTAACCTCCAGCACTGCACAAGCAATACAAAACAAAACAAAAACAAAGTGTGATTCTAGTGAGGTAGGTTTAGGTTGATAAAATAGTTCTAAAATTTATCTGGGATCATAAGGTCTAGTGAGGTAGGTTTAGGTTGATAAAATAGTTCTAAAATTTATCTGGGATCATAATGTAGTAGGAATAACCAGAAAATATTGGGGAGGAGGGAAAGGAGGATGAGAGATAGTGACAGCCACAGTGACACTGCTGCTGATTTTGTTTTTTCTTTTTGAGACTGAGGTCTTACTCTTTAGCCCAGGCTGGTCTTGAACTCCCTGTGTAGCTCAGGCTGGCCTCCAATTCATGATCCTCTGCCTCAGTCTGCTACCTCCTGGAGTCATGGATATGTAGTATGATAGACAGGTCAATAAAATTTTAATTGTTAAAATATTATGATATAGGTAAAAGAATATGAAAATAATAAACAGAACAGAATAGGTCAAAGTATCTTTAGGTATTTACTATTTGATAAAATGGCATCTATTTCATTGTCCTAGGGATGGATACATTATCCAATAATTATGGCTGAGCAAATCACTTTTTATTTTAAATCATTCCTTCCTCTTGTCATACATTTGTGCATATAAATTCCAAATTAATTAAAAAGGTAATCACAAGCCGGGCGGTGGTGGCACACGCCTTTAATCCCAGCACTCGGGAGGCAGAGGCGGGTGGATCTCTGTGAGTTCGAGGCCAGCCTGGTCTACAAGAGCTAGTTCCAGGACAGGAACCAAAAGCTACGGAGAAACCCTGTCTCGAAAAATCAAAAAAAAAAAAAAAAAAAAAAGATAATCACAGAAAAATTGCCACAAACTACCTGAAAAGCAGTGTAAGTGGCATGTTCCCCTGACTGAGTCTCTTTTTCAACAAAGCAAACAAAACAGAAAACCAACATGGAATATTTATGTCTTTGAGTAGAAGAGGCCCCTTTTGAAGCACATAAAACAAGGGACCATGAAGGAGAAGGCTTATGTTTTAAATAAATTTAACATTTTAATCTGAAACCAAATGTAAAACCTTAAAGGCAAAAGAAAATGAGGGAAAGCACATATGCCTCATGAGAGGTGAAGGGTCACCTACATCATAGAAAACCTCATTCTCAGTCAAGTGAGTTAGCATGTCTTGTACATAGTAAAAGAAGTTCACTGGATATACATAGGGGAAAAGATTCAGTGTCATTGGCAAGGCGAGAATTCTTACTGCAGTGGCGAGATTCTATTCCTAGCCCTTTAGATTGCTAGGGAAATCGGAACCCACTCATTCTAAACAAGAATAAAGCAACTTATGGGACAAGATGATAAAACAAAACAGAGCAACAAAAAGCCAAAAAAAAAAAAAAAACCCCAAAACAAAACAACCCAGCTCTTTATCCAGGGACCTGAATAAAGGTACTTGCTTCCCTAGTAGACTGACATGGCTTTTTTGTAGGACATTTTGGAGGTTAAGTAGCATTGACTTTGCCTTTCTGTTTATAGAATCTCCATTCTAGAAGAATATGTAGCTGAGGGTCTGTGCCTAGGCTATGTGTAGGTCCTGCTGTAAGTAGCAATGTTTAAACAATAACAAACTGGGAACAACTCAAACTGCATAACAACACAGGATAGATTGATGAGCTGACCCGTCCATTCAGTGGCTGCACAGGGTGCCCTTCCCCATCCAGACAGGTTCCCTCCCTGATGCTCAGTTTTAGCAATGTTGATTCAGTGGTTTCTCATTATTCAGTCAGATCGTCCCACAGCCAGGGTAAGGGTGACTGTGGCAGAGCAGGGGGCATAGGTATATCCTGTGCTTACTGCCAAGCCCACTGCTGGACATTCAGTGGGTTGGGATATGGGAAACTTCCCAATAATGGGAATATTCCTGAGATAGGACAGTGTGTTATATGGATGCTTTGCTCTGGTTCCCCTACCCCCTTCCCCTGCTCTGTGCTGTGGGAGCCTGGCCCTTGGAACAGTCTGCAAGGCAGCAGCTTACGCGTGTAATATATAAGCAACTGGCAACTCCATGTAGGCCTTGGCTCCTAACTGTTCACTAATCCGTTGGAGAGGAACCAGAGCGAAGCAAACATACATGACTCTTGTTGAATTTTCCTCTGCAGAAATAACTTATTACTTCCTTCCTTGCATTTTCAGGTTTGGGCCACCGTTCCTGATACGGGAAGACAGAACCATATCCTGGGCCCAGCTACAACAGTGTATTCTCAGCAAGGTTCGGTGCCTCATGAGGAGTGAAGTCCCTGCACAGGTCTGTGTGTGAGTTCAAGAATATGTGTGTGTGTGTGTGCAGTTTGTGTGCAAGGATGTGTGGCTTCTGATGTTTTCATCTCTCACATTAGGAGACACTTTCGCAACAATCATTGAAATAAAGAGCAGCATTTGCGTTGTTATTCTCAGCTTCATGTAGTTTTCGCTAGCTTACTCATATAGATCAAAATTTGAAGATAATTGTTAAAATTTTCTTCTCTTCTCCCCAACCTTCTTTCTTAAGACAAGGTCTTACTCTGCTGTCCAGGTTGACCTTGAATTTGCGACAGTCCTCCTGCCTCAACTTCCTCGAGGGCTGAGGTTACAGGCACAAATTACACCTGGCTTGAGATAGAATTTCTTTTTTTCATTTGTTTTTATTTTAAAAATTAAAATTTCATTTATTTATTTATTGTGTGTGTTTGTGCGCCTGTTTGTGCCGTGATGCCCATGTGGGTGTCGTAGGACTCTGTTGTTTCTCTTCTCCTACCTGTGGGTCTGGAAGGTATTGAACTCAGGTTGTCAGGCTTGGAAGCGATGCCTTTGCCTGCTGAGCCCCTTGACATGTAATTTCTGTGGAAAATGAATGGTTGTTGACGATGATGTTCACGAGTGAAGATCTAGATGAGAAAATAATTTTGTTTTAAGAAACCGAGTTTAAAAATTCAAGGAAAAATAATTTCTTATTTTGCTCCAAAAAATGTAAAAGCTTAAAAATTCACTGACTTTTGCCATAAAAGCATTGGTTTTTCGCTTCTGTGTCATGAACTGCTCTGGCAGGGAAGGTGTTGGAATTTTCAGGGTTGCATCCGTAGTCTTGAAAATCTTGTTTGAGAAACTGTCTAATAAGAGCCTTTTAATGGGTTATATCAAATTATTTCATAGATGATCTGCCACATTGCTATTTCTTTCTCTCAAAGACAGCCCCATACATTTGATTTAGGGTTCATACCAAAGAACAACTTATTAAAGACCTTCACTATATTTGTCCAAACTTTTATGTCTAAAGGATTTTGTTCCTTATACCACAGAGCCGGAATTAGAAGCTAGCTTCTCTACAAGTAGGTCAGACTCTCTAGTAATAGTGGCAGCTATCCCCCAGACTGTGCACAGGGATTGTTGAAAGGGGGGTGAAACCACTTTCATGTGGGCATTGATTCCAGATGTCTCCCCTTCCCCAGCTCCCCTTGCTCCTTGTATGTCACATGCATATACTTTTACTTCTGTGCCCGACAGTCTTTCAATGTTAGAACCTAATCAAGCCGTCTGTGAGGCTAGCCGAATTCAAGTGCATCCAGCCTCAGCCCTGCCCTGGGTCCTTTTCCTTGTTGGTAAATGTGCAGCTGGGCATGACCTGCTCCAGGAATCACGTGCTCAGAATGCTTACGCTCTCAGGATAGCCCTGCTACTTAATCCATACTCCCTTTTAAAATTTTCTGATTTATTTATTTATGTATATGTGTGTGCCTCCTTATCTGTATGTACACCACACATGTGCACTGTGTCGGGAGGCCAGAAGAGGGAATCGTATCCCCTGCACTGGAGTTCCAGGTAGTTGTGAGCTGTCTCATGTGGGTGCTGGGAATTGAATCTAGATCCTATGCAAGGGCAGCAACTGCTCTTAATCAGTGAGCCATCTCTCCAGCCCCCATCCTTAATCCTTTTAATACTGTATTAAAGATTGGCTCTGCGAGGCAATAATTTGAAAAGAATTTATTCAGAGTTCTCAAAACGGAGCTGAAGAGATTAAGCGTAGTGAACATACATTGAAGGCTCGAAAATGAATCTGTTTAGCCTAGAATAGAGGACAGGAAAGTGTTCCTTACAAAAACGAGCCATTTGCTGAGAGAATTAATTTGCATAAATTATGGAAAAAAGACTTATCACTGCAGAAACATCTTTTTATGGTCTCCATGTAAACTCGGGTGTGAGTGAGCGCAGCACTGTTTCTTTATGCGGGGTTGGCTGCCTCCACAATAGATCTTGGGCTCTGTTTAATGGATGGCCTCCCTGTGCACACAGCAGTGACAAAGGACAACTCTTTCTCCCAGACTGAAGGGAACATTCTTAGAAAGTGACACCCTTCCATGGCCAACCTGAATCAAAGCCCCTGAGGTTAGCAGGCTCCAGCCATTGATTTGCTCTTGTCAAAACTATAGAAAACTGTGGTTCGACCATACATTGTAATTGCACATTTATTGTTGGTGGATACATGAGGGGTTTTGTTTTGTCTTTTGACTATAGTCCAGGAGCTGGGCAAATTCCCTTGAAGTTCTCTGTCTAGACCACTGGTTCTCAACATTTTTAATGCTGTGACCCCTTAATACAGTTCCTCATGTGTGGTGGCCCCAACCATAATATTATTTTCATTGCTACTTTATAACTGTAATTTTGTGACTATTACAAAATTGTTACAAAATGTAAATATTTGATATGAGATGGTCTTAGGTGACCCCTGTGAAAGGGTCATTCAACATCAAAGGGGTCATGACCCACAGGTTGAAAACCATTGGCCTAGGCCCTTGTGCTGGTCAGTGTTATATCCCTGCATTTAACTCCACAGAAACTGGCTCAGGAAGAAGAAAGGCTCATAGACCTTAGAGTGTTGGGGGTTCAGAGTCACAGCACTTCCATGGATTCAGGTGCCATGAGAATGACAGGGGGTGACATGCTGTGGCAGGAACATATATGGAACAAAACCGTCACATCTCAAGTGTAGCATGGGACGGGGGAGTTGGAGAACTAAAATCTCTTTTGAGGATGCCCCAGTAACCGAAGGGCCTCTCACAAGACCCTCCCTCCTAATTGGCTGCCATATAGACGAAGTTTCAGTGAAAATAAACACGGGAAGACAAACAAGTGACATACAGAGCGACCCTTGACAGCATGGCTCTGGTTTATCCCCTGGCCAGCACATGGCTGCTGCCATAGCCACAGGAGCCCCTCACAGTTGTCTCAATGTGTTTTGGACCTCTTGGTCTTCTGAAGTGCTGGCCATTACTCTTTCCTGGAGTAATAATGTGTTCCTCCTCATCTCTTGCTAGATAGAATCCAACCTTCCCTGTGATTTTCAGATATCTGTCATCGGCTTTAATTAGAAGGAGATTTTAGTGTTTTCTCATTGTAGCCAAGTTCTTGAGTGACAGCTTTAAAAACTATACTTCCTTTATTTGAATGAACTACACTGATTTTTTTGGCAAGATATAGAACTTAACCATTCATAAGTAAATGTTAATTGCATTTGCCATGCTATGTAACTATTACTTCCATACTTTCAGCTTTTTAAACAATCCTCCTACAAAAGCTCTGTGCCCATTTAATAGTGGAATACCCATGGCATATGCTAAATTTCCCACCAGATGATGCCGAGATGGACCCCAGGGTACCTGAGATGGACCCTGAGGCCTTGGGCACAGTGAGGCTCTCTCAAGCTTAGAAGTTCAGGCTAAAGATAAGCGTGATGAATCACTAGCACATAGGTGTTAAATTTCTTATTTCTTTCCTTGTCATATTATGATCTCTGTGTGAGTGTGTGTGTGTGTGTGTGTGTGTGTGTGTGTGTGTAAGGGCATGACTTGTCAGACCCCGAGTCTGCTTAGAATGTGCTCTACCACCAAGCTACCTTTCCATCCTACTCCTTCATTTTAAAATCTGGGTGAAATTGAGTTGTGTCTATCTACCTCATTTCATTTATCCATTTATCTGTTACCAATATGTGAGGTGTTCCCATCTTTTGACTATAGGAAACAATGGTGTGACCATGATTATCCAAACATCTTTGAAGTCCCCTGTGTGTAGTCTTTTAGGAGTAAAGCTAATGGATGAGATGGTAGCTGTGGGTACAACCTTGTGAGAAACTTAGAGTCGATTGCCACAGTACTGTTTTACCTTTTCTCACCAGCCGTGCATGTGGGTTCTGATTTCTCCACATCCTCCCCAACACATATTCCTCTCTTCTTTTAAAATTAGACTATAGATAGAAATTCAGTTGTTATGGTGGCTTTAAATGACAGCTCATTGTGGTCTTGGTTCATTGGTTCTCATTTCCTGTCTACAAATGGTAGTAACCATCTTCTATTGTGCTTTTGTTATCTGCATGTTTGGAGAAGCTCATATTCAGATCCTCTGGCTACTTTTGAACCAACTTATTTGTTCCACTGACTTTTTTTTGAGGCATCTATAACATAAACATATCTTACATTAAGACTTGCTTCAATTTCAGAACTGCTAGAATATCATGTGTATATGAACTTGTTTTTGCACAACTGTCTCATCGTGGTGATGATAACCATGTCCATAAAGAAGGTTAAACTACTTACCAATAATTAATTATGAATAGACTTTACTTTCCACTTACTGTATCGGTATCTGCTCCAGTTAAACACTTGTTTCTGTGTATGCTGTGTTCATTGTGCGAGGGGTTGCATTCAGTATAGCGAGCATGGCATTAGATCATTGTATTAAGAGACTGAATCTTCAAAGCAATGAAGCCTCTGTAGCTCTCTATTTTAAATACCAGCTATTAAGAGAATATTCAAAATACTACAGGAAAAAAAATGCTTGCCCTTTTGATTAATTTGTGTGTCACAGAGTCAATTGCTCAGCCCAGGGACTATGTGATGAAGTGTCGCCTTCTGGTTTTGTCATGGCAGGACCTGGGGACTCTGTTCTCCATCCGGGTTGTGGGGCTCTCCTTGGCCTGCAGCTACTTATCTCCACAGGACAGCCGGCCCCTCTGTCACTGGGCAGTTGACAGGTAAGGGAAGGGATGGCTCGTGTTCCTACTGAGCTAGGCTTACCCAAGAAGTCTACAGAGCAGCAAAGTTATTAACAATACTAGCCATTCTATATCAGTTCCTCTCTAGTTCTAGCCACCTCATTGGGTCCTTAGACATGTTTTTCTCCTTTATTTTTCTTTTTTAACCCCATGTCCAACAATGGCCACTGAGAGATGAGGGAGCAATGAGATTACCAGAGATTAACTTGCTCGTACTTACACAGCGGGTAAATGGAGAAGCCTGAGTTTACACCCAAATCGGTCTAACAGATGCACCATAATCATGTGTTTAGGTCATACTATGGACCCCAGTGGGAATGAGTGTCCTCTCTGAGGTGGGTGAGAACGCTACAGCTGGACCATGGGTCCTAAACTGTAAAAGGTTGTGGACTACGGCTGGGGGATAAAGCCACTGTGGCACTGCCCTGTGCTTCTTGTTTCACGATGCTCCACATGTCTGTTCAACAGCTTGTCACAGTGCAGCCCCGTCTATACATCTTCAGGGCTGGTACAGTATCCACGGGCTGATTTTGCTCTCCACCAGTAATCTGATACCTTTGCTGACATTCCCATAGAGCACATTCCCATAGGCCATAGTAAGGGTCTCTGGTTTCCTGCTGGGTCAGCTTGAGGTGCTGAGTCTAGAATGTTGAGATGGACCAGAAGGCTCTCCAGCATACTTTATTCCTACCCTCCTTAGCTGCTAAGTTAGGGAGAGAGGAACCATCCATGTCAGCCAGGACCTGCTTTGGTCTGACAGGAAAAGGAAGCCCTAGGGAAGAAGGGCCCATGGCATTCCGTGGTGGAGATGACAGTTTACATTCCTCAACATGCACTCTGCAGGCTGGAACCAACCTATAGCGAGTTGTTACCAGGCCATGACAGAAACTTGAGAGGAAGCACCTAAGTACTTGAGAGCAGGAGGACAAAGCAATGCAAAATCTATTGAAAATAAGGGACGGAAATTGTCCTTTGTATGTCCGCTCTTACCGAGTATGCAGTCTCCTCTCACTTTGTGTCTTATTAAGTGAGTCCGGAACTTCCTATTGAATCATCTTGGTGACAGTCTTGTCACAAATCCTAAACAGTATTTTGGGTACTCAGCGACTACTTGTGCCTGCTCTTCTTGATTCAGGGTATAACTTCTACTCTCCACTTTATTCCTTCATTTCTCCTGCTTTTTCTGAAATGGGTGGAGCCCCAGTAGGTGGGAGGGGCTGTCGTTTGACTCACTGAGATTGTCAACACAATGAGGCTTTGGAAGCCTTTGGGTGGTATGGGTGGGTTTGCAGGGATCCTTCTGCACTGTTGTTGGGGGCGGGTGTTAGTTCTCCTGGGGTGCCATCAGTATTGGCTTTGTGTGCACAAAGCTCATCAGGGTGTTCTTCTGACTTGGTGCTGCTGTGAGCTAGTACCTGACAGGAAGACCTTGAGGGAAGGAAAGATGGACTCTGTCTCATGGTTTCAGTCCATCGTGACTGGCTCTGTTGTTCTGGGGCCTGTGGTGAGGCAGAGCATTGTATACTTGAGAATCTTTTTTTAACTCATGTTTGACTGGAAACAGAAGAGATACAGGAAGAAATCAGAGATGAGATACACCCAATGACCCATCCCCCAGTGACCTACTCCATCTAAGCTTCCCTTTTAAAGAATAATGTTACCAGCTGTGGGAGACATTTCTTATTCAAACCTTGCAATGTGTAACTTCCCTGTAAACACCGAAAAGACAGCTGGGCCTTCAGTGGAACAGTTAACTGTGTCCTAATAGCTAGAAGGACACAGCTTCTGCATGGAGCTCCCACTTCCAGGGAGGATCAGTAGAGAGTGTTAAGGGGTAGCAAAGAACTAAAGCCTTCAGCAGACTTAGAACCCTTCAGTGTGGTTTTTAGTCAATTTGGGGTGTTTTTGTTTGGAACATTTCTCCAGAGAGGCATGGGGAAGCTGACTGCTGAGCCCTGAGAACTGTGGGAAGGAAGCTCTATTTTCTGACAGGTTTCCTCATTCTCTCCTCAGGGCTTTGCACCTCAGGAAGCCAGGAGGCCCTCCTCATGTCAAGCTGGCCGTGGAGTGGGATAGCTCTGTCATGGAGCGGTGAGTTAATGGAATTTTACTCCTATGGAGCTGGGCTAGGGCATGACTCTACCCACAAACCTTTCCTGGACGCAGTGTCCCCTAGTTAGTGTGTAAGATCCTGCATACACACCTTTAGTATGATGGATCCCATTCCTCTGAGAGAACTTAGAACTGCCTCTATAAATAACCACAGTGGGCACATGATCACAGTGGGTGATCATGATGGGGACCGGTGGGGTGTTAGGAGTAGTAACCCTCATGTAACCCTCAGCCTGGGCCATGCATTGCTCAGAACACTTATTTCCCATGAGCTCTTGGCTTCATCTTCATCACACCCTATGGGGAAGGACTGTGAATTTATCACTACCATTGCCTGGAGGTTGAAACTGAGATGCACAGAGGTTAGGTGATGCACAAGTCACATAGCTCATACACACAGAGCTGGGGTTTGAAGCCAGGCTGACTGACTTGAATCCAGGCTCATCACTCTGCTTGACTGCCTCTCACAGCACCTCAGCACACCAGCCAGACTTTGTAAGAGGACTTGTTTCAATCCATCAGGTACTATGACTAGTGCTAAGTTGGGTAAGCCTAGAACTTGGTCCATTGAGGAGCTGGTAGGGGAGACAGGTGATTCTCTAAGAGTTAGTTGCAAAGTTAGGGGTGCAGGAGGTTTCAGGAACCCACAAAGAGGGTAGCTTTGCCTGTCCGGTGCCCAGCCTGGTTTCTCTGTGTGGAGACAGTGAGGTCCTTCTGGGAGGGAGAGCTCTGAATGCTGTGCCTTCTCCTTCCATCCAGCCTGTTTGGCAGTCTCCAGGAGGAGCGGGTCCAGGATGCAGAGAGTGTGTGGCGGCAGCAGCAGGCACATCAGCAGCCCAGCTGTACCCTGGATGAATGTTTTCAGTCCTATACCAAGGAGGAGCAGGTCCCGCCCTGGGAGACGGGGCTGGCTGCCTTGTGGTGGGTTGGTTGTGCACTGTGGTGGCCTTACAGTCCTGATGGCTTCTTTTGCAGCTAGCCCAGGACGATGCATGGAAGTGCCCCCACTGCCAGGTCCTCCAGCAGGGTGTGGTAAAGCTGAGCCTGTGGACCCTGCCTGACATCCTGATCATCCACCTGAAGCGGTTCTGTCAGGTCGGGGAGAGAAGGAACAAGCTCTCCACGCTGGTGAAGTTCCCACTGTCTGGGCTCAACATGGCTCCCCATGTCGCACGAAGGAGCACCAACTCTAAGGCAGGGACTGGAACCTGGTCCTCCTGGAAGGAGCCAATCTGCCTCCCTACCACCTACCCCATGGACTTCCTCTACGACTTGTATGCTGTCTGCAACCACCATGGCAGTCTGCAAGGTGGGCATTACACAGGTGAGCCTTGCCATGCCTCTCTGCATGCAGCAGCTATAGCTATGTGAGTTGGCTGTAGCCAGAGCCTCAAGATGTCCCCAGAACTGGTGCTTCTTGAAGGCTAGCACTCTTCCCATTTACTGTGGTTGGTTTGTCCCCCACTGCACACAGCGGGGGCGGGGGAGAGACAGTGCCTAGTCCCCTGGGAAGCTGGTGTTGACTCAGGATGATGGTTGCACTGGAGTTGGTAACTACTTGTATTTTCAGGCACAGCAGATATGGGAGGGTAAGTACCAGAGCCAAGACATGGTGCCTGCCTTCATTTATGATTCAACACAGAGTCTTACTCTCCAGGTTCTGCATCCCTGTACTCTGTGGGGTGCTTTTCATTTCTATTCACCTGGGGAATTTAGAAGCAGTAGACATACAGAGAGAGAAACAAACTGCCAAGTGCTTCTCTCAGTGGCTTAAAGTTGTCCCTGTAAGTATTCACAGAGTTAGCATGACTGACTACTTCTTGACCAATGCCATTCCTTTGACTTATCTTAGAGGTCACAGAAGTCTGTAGGAGAGCTGTTGGCAGCAGCAGTTCAGTGTCTAGTGGGTACACAGTTGTGGAGGCTGATCCTGTGAGCCTCATGAGAGGTGTGGGATGTGCTCTCTGACGGCGTGCACACACTGCTGGTACAGTGCCCTCGGAGAGGAAAAGAAAGACGAGGACCTTGTGGGCGAACAGAGAAGGGTTGAAGGATGGGTCTTGACTGCACATAGAAGGTTCCAGTGGACATCAGGTGACTCTTGCATTGCTCTGCTCTGCCACCGCACCCATTCTTCACAGCTGTCCTGCACCAGGTGAAGGGGCCGCCAGTTTCTGTCTGAAGGACCCTGTGGTTAGGTCCCCAGTCTATTTCTGCTGCAGCACAGATCCCGTGAGACCCATGTGTATATGCATTTGGAGAGGCATCCTTTCTGCTGTATTCACCTGGAAATTTTTTTTGTTTTTTTTGTTTTTTTTTTTTTTTTGATTTTCGAGACAGGGTTTCTCTGTAGCTTTTTGGTTCCTGTCCTGTCCTGGAACTAGCTCTTGTAGACCAGGCTGGCCTCGAACTCACAGGGATCTGCCTGCCTCTGCCTCCCAAGTGCTGGTATTAAAAGCGTGTGCCACCACCGCCTGGCTCACCTGGGATTTTTTTAAAAATTATTTTTACTATTTTGAAATTAAAATATCATTATACTACTTGTCCCCTTCCTTTTAGTTTTCCCAACCTCTCTCATGTAACCCTGCCTTGCTCTCTCAAATGCATTCTTTCTTTTTCTTTGTGTGTGTGTGCATGTGTGCATGTACACATATATTCCTAAACACGTAAATGCAATGTACTTAGTCTAGATAATGTTAAGTATATATATGATTTCAGGTCTGACAACTTGGTATTAGGTAGCCAACAGGAAGGGATGTTCCCTAGGAAAGACTATTTTTTTTCTGTTCTCAGCTTTTCTTAGTTGCTTATAGTTCTTTGTCTAGGGTTGGGGCCCTACGAGTTACTTCCTCCGCGTTATCCTGTCTGTTGGTCTTGTTCTTGTTCAGGCAGCCATGTGGTTGAGACTTCGTGGGTGTAGGTTCCCTGACATTTACATTTCCAGGAGACACAATCTCACAGCAGACTTTCTGTTTCTCTGGCTGTTACAGTCTTCTCACCCCCTCTTCCTTGATGTTCCCTGAACCTTAGTGCAGGAGTTGTGTTGTAAGTGTGCCAATTGGGGCTGGGTGCCACGTGGTCACTTGTTCTCCACAGCTTGATTGTATGTGGTTTTCTATACTCCGTCTCTTGCAAAGACAAGTTTCGTAGATGGGGGGTGAGAGCAACTTATGTATGGGTTCAAGAATAGATATTTGGATGTAGTTAACGAATTATGCTGGTTTAGTAACATGTCAGTAGGAGGTTCTCCATACAGGATATCAATCACCAACTTCTTCACTTTGAGGAGCACACCTTCTAGCTTCCTAAGAGAGGGCCTTGGAAGTGTGACATTCTGAGTCACTGCACATCTTAAATGCTTTGACTGCTGCCCTTGACTGGCAGCCTGGTTGGAGATAAAGTTCTAGGTTGATAACCATTGTCTCATCGTCTTTGGACAGGGATGCTCCACAGAGATTGGAGGTGAGGAATATGCTCTTGCTTTGGAGATGGGGTCAGCCAGTTTCTTTTTCTTTGTCTGAGATCTAATTCTTTCTGGAAGCTTTTAGGTCCTTTTACACACACTGGTGCCCTGGAATTTCACAGGCTGCCCCTTTATATGGGTCTTTTCATTTACCAGGACTCAGGAGGCACTGTGCTTGCTCTTCAGTTCTTTACTTGTATTTATTTTTAAAAATTGAAAAAATATCTTTAAAAATTGACAACATAAAGAGAGACTTTTAGGTTTTACTCTATCACTCATTTTAAGCACAAGAGTTAAATACTGTACATATAATTCTGCAGCTAGATTTTTTCACTTAGTAATCTAGCTTAGAAGTTTCCACCCTGGTATATAGAAGATTAGGGCATACACTGCTCATTCTTCTGCTTTGCAGTATTGCTTCTGTGACCTTTGACATGTGTCATTTCCTATATGACAAGCTGGGTTTTTATTATTATTATTATTATTTTTTATTTTTTGAGACAAGGTTTCTCTGTGCATCTTTGGCTGTCCTGGAACTCACTCCGTAGACCAGGCTGGCCTTGAATTCACAGAGATCAGCACCACCAATCTGAGTGCTGGAATTAAAGGCGTGCACCACCACCGCCCAGTATGTGACAAGCTTTCAACAGGGCAAAATCTCAGAAAGGCAGTAGCTAGCTAGCTGGTGTGTTTGTATGCTTGTGTTTGCATATCAAAACCAGGGCCTCAAGCATTGTAGGCAGGCTCCCTACCACTCTGGGTCTGCATATACTCTACCATTGAACTAGGCCCCCACTCTGGATCTGCAGGCACCCTAACATTGAACAAGGCCCCTGCTCTGGATCTACATTTTGACAATTTATGTAAATCCACCCTGTAGACTGGGCGTGTAGGAATTTGTTCTCTTCCTAGCAGTAAGAGAGTGCTTGCTTTTGGCTGCTAAGATAGCTCAGAGGCACCTGAGTTCAATCCCTGGGGCCCATATGGTAAGATTTCCTTAAGTTGTCATCTGACCTCAACATGTGTGCCGTGGTATGGGTGTGTCTACATGTACTCATACAAACAAATTTTTAAAAATTAAAGTGTAAAGCTGGGTGTGATGGCCCACATCTTTAATTCCAGCACTCAGGAGGCAGAGGCAGATGGATCTCTATGAGTTTGAGGCCAGCCTGGTTTACAGAATGAGTTACAGGACAGCCAGGGCTACACAGAGAAACCCTTCCTTTGAGGGAGAGAGGGAGAGTGGGACGGAGGGAGAGAGAGAGAGAGAGAGAGAGAGAGAGAGAGAGAGAGAGAGATTGCTTCCCCGGAGGAGAACTCACCACATCCTGCGCATAGACACCTTTGGAGTTTGTTTGTTTATATTTTTTATTCATTTTACATTCCAACCACAGTTTTCCCTCCTACCTTCCCCAAACTACCCCCCACCCACTCCTCCCAAAGCTTAAGGACTCCCATGGAGAGTCAACAATGTCTGGTACATTAAGTGGGGGCAGGATCAAACCCCTCCCCCTCCATTAAAGCTGAGCCTGGCATCCTACCAAAGGGAATGGACTCGAAAAAGCTAGCTCATGCACCAGGAATAGATCCTGGTCCCACTGCTAGGGGACCCTCAAACACACCAGGCTACACAATTGTCTCCCATATGCAGAGGGCCTGTTCAGGCCTATGCAGGCTCCACAGCTGTCAGGGTATGTGTGAGTTCCCATGAGCTTGGTTCAGCTGTCTCTGTAGATTTCCCCATCATGATCTTGACTCCCCCCCGCCCCCCATAAGTTACTGGATGAAGGCTCTATGATGACAGAGTATTCACCAATCTGACTACAGAGAAAGGCCAATTCAGGCACCCTCTCTACTATTGCTAGGGGTCTTAGATGGATCATGCTTGTGGATTCCTAGGAATTTCCCTAGCACCAGGTTTCTCCCTAACCCCATAATGGCTCCCTCTAACAAGATATCACTTTCGCTGCTCTCCCACTACATCCCTCCTCCAGCATGACCTTCCTGTTCCCTCATGTTCCATCCCCCATCCCCTCCTCTCTGATGCCCCCACCCCCAGTTTACCCAGGAGATCTCATCTATTTCCCCTTCCCAAGGCGATCCATGCTTCCCTCTTAGGGTCCTCCTTGTGACCTAGCTTCTCTGGGGCTGTGGGATGTAGTCTGGTTGTCCTCTGTTTTACATCAAGTATCCACTTATGAGTGAGGACATAGCGTGTTTGTCTTTCTGAGTCTGGGTTACCTCACTCAGGGTGATTTTTCCTAGTTCTATCCATTTGCCTGCAAATTTCATGCTGTCATTATTTTTTAAAGCTGAGCAATACTCCATTGTGTTAATGGACCACATCTTCTTTATTCATTCTTCAGTTGAGGGGCATCTAGGTAGTATCTCGGTCCTGGCTCTTATGAATAATGCTGCTCCTTTGGAGTTTTGCCAGTCAAATGAGCGAATGACGCCTCAGTTCTAGCCTCTCCGCTGCTGAAGAACTTTGTGCACCTCCTCTGTGAATGCCTTGCCTGTATCCTTGACTGTTTCCCACATTGGCTGTTGTTAATGGTCTCCCTGTAAGACTGTGCCTACAGTGCCTTAGGTCACTTGTCTTGCAGAAGGCTTACATTTTGTTTTTCTAGGTAGCCGAATGGCCAATCATTTCATTAAAGACTTGTGGATTTCGAGGTATGACTAGAAAGCCCTTTTCATGCAGGGCTATGAAGCGGTTGTTCTATGTTGTCTCCTGGGGCTTTTGAGGCTTTAGATTTTCACATTTAAGTCTGTGCTCTGAAGTTTCTTGATGTCCCCCCCCCCACCAACATACCCCATGTACCAGTTGCTACAAGACCATTACTAATTGAAAGATCCACCTAATTCCATGAGGCTATGTTTTTGTGTTTGGTTCTATTTCTGGTCTTTGGCTTTTTCTCTTCTCATTGCCCCAAAGTCCCAACCTTTGCTTCCTTGGCCTCCTCAAGACTGACCCTACCCTGAAGCCACTTGGAGGCCACAGTCATCACACAGATCACCAGCATAGACAATGACACTTTGGAACATCCAAGAGTTTTACGAATCATTTTACTGTGTCACAGTGGGCAGCTCCAGGCCTTAAGTTGAGGAGTAAAAACATCTCCTAGTGTGCTTTTCAGAATGGCTGTTCTGTGGATACTGGAGGAGCAATGCAAGTGAGAATTTCAGCCTGAGGTGGTTTCTGAGCCTCAAGAGAGTTCACACTGGATACTGACATGGTCTTCTAGACATAGTCTGGGAGTTCCGTTAGTAAGAACAGCTTTTGGATGGGGTATGGCAAGAGGGGAAAGAAAAACAAAGATGAACTCCTAGGTGTTTAGCTGCAATGTGTGCAAAGGTCAGCAAGCTAGAGCCCGAGGGACCTGTGGGTTTGCATAATCCGTAAATTTGAAAGGTTGTCTCCTTCCTTCCTTCCTTTTTTTCCTTTTCCTTCCTTTCAATAACATTTTAAAGGTGAACAAGAACAAGACAGATGTAGCCACCTGTGTCCTGTAAGCTTCAGGACCAGTGGGCTTGAGTGCTATGTACTGAGCTTGGAGGGCCAGGTGAAGGGTCTCTGTGGCTGGTTGGAGGCAGTCGGGAATGGTATTCATCTTTCTGTAAATGTTGAACTCCAGTCCTTAGGTGGGAAGAGGTATACTAGGGTCCCATTTTCCCTTCCATGGCCTTTTAGAGATGGTGAGCAGTGGGTTACATTACTGTCTAGCCTTGTCACGTGAGACTCTGTGTTAGAGGTGACTGTGCCTGATGAGATGGCATTGTGAATGTTCACTTTCCAGTGAGCACTCGAGTAAGATCTTACTAGCGGTGAAACTGCTGTCTTCTTCTGGTTTCCCAGAAATCAGTTCTAGCTAAAAATGGGTATTTTTGCCACCCAGCTTTAAGCATGTCCATTTTTGAATTTTGTTCATGCCTTGGGGCTCTAAGCATTGAACTTGGGGTTTGGACTTTCGCAGCCTATTGCCGGAACTCCCTGGACGGCCAGTGGTACAGCTACGACGACAGCACGGTGGAGCCCCTGCAAGAGGATGAGGTCAACAGCAGGGGCGCTTACATCCTGTTCTATCAAAAGCGGAACAGCATCCCTCCGTGGTCAGCCAGCAGCTCCATGAGAGGTGTGTGCCACAGCTCAGAGGGGCATGGGGTGTGGAGGTCACGTGAAGAGTTGAAACGTTCTGGGCCAGTGAGATGGCTCAGTTGTAAGGATGCTTACCACCAAACCTTGGCAACTTCAGTTTGATCCTTGGAACCTGTTCCTGCAGGTTTTCCTCTGAGCTCCACACATGCATTATGGCACCCATGTGCATGGGTGCTCCCCTCCCTCTCGAGTGGCTTGTGTTTTGAAGGAACTGGAATGCTCACTTGAGTATCCAGGAAGGTGGACAAGGATCCAAAAAGGAAGCTCTGTCTGCCAGTGTGAAAATTGGGAGTTGCCATACCAAGAAACGGGGAAAGAGTACATTCCTTTTCAATCTGGGGCGGCTGATGCACGTGGGAGTCTCATTGAGCCACATGCGATTAGCTGTGGGCCTTGTAAACCTGTGTCAATACTGTTAGAAAGGGAGAGGCAGGTAAGAGCCAGGGCCTTTCGAGAAAGTGTGCCTGCCTAGTGGTTCCTTGGTAAGTGATTTATGAGCCTCCACATTGTTTGGAAGTACAGGGAGAAATGTGTAACACTTTTAAGTGATTTGTCACACTCTGAAAAATAGTCATCCTTATTTTGGGGACAAAAGAGCATTACAGATATTCATCAGGACTGAATAGATGTCCCCTTGGGTAAGAATGCTTGCTGTGTTAAGTGTGAGAATTTATTTTAAAAAAGAAATCTAGTCTTGCCTACCTATGTTCCTCTGACCCCAGCACTGTCAGCAGTGGAGAGCCAGCCTAGCTCCAGGTTCACTAATTCACTCTACTCAAAGGGATAAGGAGGAGAGTGATGGATCAGGGTACTCAATGGTTTCCCCTGGAGGAGAGTGGTGGATCAGGGTACCCAATCCCTTCCTCTGGAGGATAGTGATGGATCAGGGTACCCAATGGTTTCCCTGGAGGAGAGTGGTGGATCAGGGTACCCAATGACTTCCCCTGGCCTCTGTGAATTTATAGACACTCACACCTGCTTGTACTTTTGTGTATATACCACATGTATACACTGAATTCACACACACATATGTTCTCATACTTTCTCTTTACCCCCTTCCTCCTTCCCTTCCTCTTTTCCCTCCTTTTCTTCCCCCCATTCTAAACACACACACACACTATAAACACACATACACTCACACACTAACTACATCTTTTTCCTAATTATTATTGAAAAATAGACAGAGAAAATAAAGAGTCCTCCAGGTCTGAATCAAAACGAACACAAGCCTGCTTTCCATTTTTAAAAGGCAGGCATTGAATGAAGAAAAAAACACTTAGATCCAGGCATGGTGACATATGCCTAAATCTCATCACAGGGGAAGCTGAGACAGGAGGATCATGAGTTTGGGGCCAACCTAGGATACACAGTAAGAGCCTCAAGTAATATGCAGTTTAATAATAAACCTATTAGAGAAGGCCAAAGGGAAGCTAACCTTGATGCCCCTTATGAAGATTTGGCTCCCTTGAACTTGGGGTGTGTTCACTGTGTGTTGTCCTACAGGATCTGGTCCCATGGGTCCTGGGGCTAAATGCCATCACTCTGACTATGGCTTTTGCTGTGACTACTAAAATCCTAGAAATCTGGCTCTAGAAAAATAATCACATTTAGGAAACCAGACTTGGCGGCAAATAATTTCATGAAAAACATTTGAATGTACCAAAGAACCATCTTTCCTGTGCTCACTAAACACTGTTGTTCCAAGTCACTGCAGGCTTCTAAACATAGTTGAGGATGTCACATCGTAGGTCTCACCTAAACACCATGGTTCTGAGGATGTCCCATTGCAGGCTTCTCTGGCCAGCTACCACCCCCGCCCCCGCCTTTTTTTTTTTCAAGACAGGGAGGGTTTCTCTGTGTAGCCCTAGCTGTCCTGGAATTCAATTTGTTGACCAGGCTGGCCTTGAACTTGCAGAGATCCACCTGCCTCTACCCTGAGTGCTGGGATTAATGGTGTGCACCACCACCGCCTAACTACTTTGGTTTTTATGGTTCCCCTCTTGTTCTGTTAGTCCAGGGCTTAGGGATAGAGGTCATCTTGGGAATCTTAGGACTGGCCTGGAGCCCAGTAGAGGAAGAACTCCGCCTCTACCTGCAGGTTCCTCTGGGACACGCCAGGTCCAGCTCTCTCTCTGCTTCTTCTACAGGCTCCACCAGCTCCTCTTTGTCTGACCATTGGCTCATGAGGCTCGGGAGCTACAACAACAGCACAAGAGGAAGCCTGCTGTCCTGGAGCTCAGCCCCCTGTCCCTCCGTGGCCCGGGTCCTTGACTCTCCTGTCTTCACCAATGGTGTCTGCCTCCAGGACAAGGGTATGTGGCTAGATTGGCTATCTTTTCTTTTCCTGTGCTTCTTCATTGTGAAAGTGTTGGCACCTCCTAGCTGTGAACAGAAAGAGCTGGTCCTGACAAGAAGTGTGTCATCTCTTGGGGTCTTCCTAAAGTTCACCTGCCTCCCCTCTACCCATCCACGACCCTCCACCCACAGTAGGCCCCTTTGACCCACAAGCTGCACATCAGTGGAGTCAATCAACCACTGATGGAAAATAGAAAAAAGGTCGTCCCTGGACTAAACATGTGCAGACTCTTCTCCCACCATCCCCCAACATTCACACTGCATCAGGGATTACGGACAACTGAGTGGTGACTTTAAGCACACAGGAATGCACAGGAGTATAAAACTCACGGGAGGGTGTGTGTCAGTTACGTACAAACACTGCAACATTTTCTCAGATCCCTATTTGAGCATCCAAGGCACTGAGCATCTGCAGGAGCTGATACTCATGGGCTCTGAGGAACGACTTTGCATCCCTCGTCTGTTCGCACAGAGCTTACTATGTCATGGGGCAGACAGTAACTAAGGCAGCAGTGTGGTTTAAAGCAGGGACAGAAGTAAAGAGCTAAAAAGTCAGGGAAGGAGAGAGCAGAAACCAGGGAGGGAGGTACAGAGACCCCTGTGTGATACAGTGGGTGAAGTGACATTGAAGTGGCCTGAGCAAGGACCGGGTACTCGTGCTGTGCAGGAGGCTGGGAATACGTGCATCGCAGGTGCTATGAAAGACGAACATGGCATGGTGTGAGGAGCAGAAGCCACAGCCTTCAAGCAGAGCGAGGAGGAGGAGGATGGGAAGTGCATGGTACAGCTTTTGGTATGCCATTTGGACTTCACCTCAAGTGCTGTGGCTAGTGAGGAGAATGTGGAGTAGGGCAGTAGTCAATATGGTTTACCTTTATGTTTATTTTATGTCTTTGGGTGTTTCGCCTGCATGTTTGTCTGTGTATCACAGGTGTACAGTATCCCCAGACTAGAAGAGGGTGTCAGAGCCCCTGGGACTAAAGTTACAAACAGTGTGGGTCACCTAGGGAAGACTATCTAGGTCCTCTAGAAGAGCAACCACTGCCTTAACCACTGAGCCATCTCTCCAGTCTAGGGTTTATATATCTATAGCCTGTCTACTGCATGAAGAATCAATCTGTCCTCAGGGGTGGGCTTGTGTGTCAGGTGATGCGCCCATGAGGAGATTGTTTATGGTTGAAGATTTGGAAGAATGTGTTGGGGACAAGATGGTCAGATTGTGGACAGAACTAACAGAGTTTACTGGTGTTAAAGCAGCAAAGGAAAGAAGGAAATGATCAAGGATGCCTTGACCTTTGTTTAAGGTATAACTGTCAATGGGGCTGGTTGTACTGTCTGTAGGGTGGGAAAGTGTTGGGAAGGAGCAGGGTCAGTTGGGAACGACAGGGACTAGAGCTGGAGACTGGAGAGCCACCAGCACACAGGCAAAAGTGACAGCCACAGGCTGGCTCAGCTCCCCATGGAGATTATGGAGATAGAAAAGAACGCAGATTCAAGACCGAGGCTGGCAGCTCTACTGAGTTGGACTTGAATGAAGCTGGACAGAGAACTGAGAAAGAGAAGCCAGGACCGGGGGAGCAAGCCAGCAGAGGTCATTCCCAGGTGCTGGGAGCTTCCTTCAGAAGGAAAGAGCCAACTGTGTTCAGGACTGAGGGAGGCTGGGAAGAAATGGAAGCCCAGCTGCTGTGCAGGAAATGACTGCACATACGCAAGTCATTTGGGGGCATGGTGAAAGGCCAGTAGCTGTGCAGGAAGCTCGGCTCAGAGCGAGCTTTTCCTTGGCCAAAAGAGAGCTAGCAGAGCAGGTGTGCTCCCTAATGGAGAAACTGCAGGAAAACAGGGACAGGATGGTTACAGACACCAGTCCTAAAACAAGAACTCAGTGTGTGGGTGGCTGTGTCTCTCTGTACATGGGTGTGTGTAACTGTGTAGGTGTGTTTCCTTCGGCAAAGAACAGTGGTCAAATATTTAAATTTCCAGTGGGGCGTGGTGGCTCACACCTTTAATCCCAGCACTTGGGAGACAGAGGCGGTGGATCTCAGTGGGGTCAAGGCCAGCCTGGTCTACAGAGTGAGTTTCGGGGCACCCAGGGCTACACAGAGAAATCCTGCCTCAAAACAAACAAACAAATAAATAAATAAATTTTCATATTTTATTTAGTTCCCAATTTAGGTTATAATATAAAAATCGTAGTAGAAATGTTTTATAACTATAAATATCACAGCTATAGAAACATTAAGATAACATTTTTGTTTGTGTCATTAAGATGTATGCTTGGGATGCACTTTGTCATGTATGAGCATATACATTGGCAGTGCATATTCTATAAAGCACGCAGATAGTTTTACTAATGTACTACTAATAAATATGTACATAGTCACGTGTGCACATCTGATGAATTATCATAATGGGGACATATTCATGTGCTAGACTAAGATATAGAGAGTTCTGTGTTGGAGGTGTGGCTCAGTGGCAGAGCACTTGCCTACCACCACAAAGGAAGGAAAGAAGGAAGGAAGGAAGGAAGGAAGGAAGGAAGGAAGAAAGAAAAGAAGGAAGGCAGAAAGGTGACTGGTTCTGGAATTCTCCTTCCTCATACCTGTCTCACTCATTGCTTCCCACTCTCCCAGGATCTATGCCATGTTAGTTTTACTGTGTTAAGTAAAAGATGGACAGGGGCCAACTGTGACACACCCATTGGACTTTATTCCCTGCACAGTGAGTAGCTATTGGAAAGTTTGGAGCAGGCTATCATCAGTCTGGTTTATGTTTAAAAATGTATGCTTGCAAAGATGAATTTTACCTGTGAAGCCATATGGCGTGCAGACTTTTGGTTTGGCTAATTTTGTTTACCCTGTTCTTGTGAGGTGCCTCTGGCGTACATAGCAGTGGGTTGTCCTTCTCTTTTATTTTTTTTTTTACTAGTAAATAAAATCAACTCAGGGATGCAGAGTTCTCTGTGCAGAAGTTAGCTCACGTGTGTGAGAGGAGGAGACTAAGAGCAAAGACAGGCATTAGGAAAGAGTGTGCAGGGCGAGCTACAGGGATCAACTTCTGCCTTCTGTACACTCGCTGTGGAGTAGACATTGCTGTAGAGCCTGGTGTAGAGCCAGCCCCGGAGAAATCTGGCCTGCTTCTCAAAGTGTCTTGAATGAGTACACGTTTTCAGTTTCTGAGAGACCGGTGGATTCTTTGTAAGTCCATGCACTTTCTTCGTGGAGCCCACATGGTGGGTTGTCTCTGGATGGCGTCTGCTCCTTGGCAGATGGCACTATCTCCTTCATCAGTATTTCCCACACTGTTCGGATAGGTCACTTTTTATTCTACTGAGGCATATTTAGGCACTGTCTCCAGTTTGGAGCTATCATCAGTATTATCTGATGAGCATGCTTAATCTGAAAATCCCAAGTGCTTGAGAATATAAAAGTTCTTACCAATATGATGCCACTATCAGTTGAAAATTTTACACCATGAAATCTTATCTTGTGCACTAATTATTAATTATTAGTCGCCTTTACTCTCATGCATGAAGTATACTTGATGCATGAGAGTTTTGTGTTTAGACGTGGGTTCTATCTCTAGGAAACCACCATATTCTACCTATTCCAACATCTGAAGAGATTTGAAGCCTTCCACACTTCTGGTCCCAACCACTCTGGATAAGGGATAGCACCTGTGCCACTGTGAGATTCGAGCTCATGTCTTCTGCTGTGTACATGCCTGTGTTTCCGTTGAGTCTATACCTAGGGGTGGAATTGCTGGGCCACAGTATATGTGCCCACCCGCCAGCTGCTTCTTTCCATGTACTTTAGTCGTTGTTGCTGAGAATGCAGCACAGTCCCTGGCACATCCCAGAGTTCCAGGAGATATTAGTGATGATGAAGTCTTCAAACTGCCCTCTGGTTTGTAGTTGATGAGTCATAGCTCGTGAGTTTACTCCCCCTCATTTGGCATCTGTGGCTTCCACCATTTCACCATCAGATGGAATGCTGCAGGAGTGTGTGTGTGTGTGTGTGTGTGTGTGTGTGTGTATCTATGTGTAACGTGAACTTGTCCAAGTCCTTAGAGTTCACTCCCATGGGACTGAATTGAATGCAGTGGGTTCTGGCTTGCTTTCGCCAGGTAGGTATTTCTTATTTTCTTACACTGTCCCGGCTGCACCTTTGGGAGAGTGCCTGTAAACAAGAGAGAGGCTCTTCCAGCTTGTGCATTCCTGCTGGTTCTGCTTGTGATAAGTCATGGACTCATCCCAGCTCTGTCGAAAGGCATGGCACCATGGGCCGTCTCTCTCCCAAGGGGAAGAGTTTTGGACACCCTTCCATGAGGAGGCAGCTCCAAAGAGTGATGCAGCTTTTCAGAGAAGCGGCAGGCATGACTCTAAGATGCTGTGGAGCAGACAGCAGCAGTGCAGGGGTGACAGCTGTACCCCAGGCTCCTCCAACTGTCCTCTGAAGCATGTGCCTCCCGACAACTTCGCATCCAGGCTTCTTCTGCTTGGATGTTGGAAGAGCCTTGCTATCTAAGGGAGCTTTCCCTCTCATAGTTTGGATAAAATAGAATTGGAGTTTTAAAACTTGTTCTAGAAGCTCTGGAATGGTTGTGAAATCTAGTCTTATCGTCAAATCCGAGCAGGAGCAAAATCTAGCAGAGAGGTTTCCTCAAGGGAGTCAGTCCTCTCTCATCTACGAGAGAGACTTTCTTAATCTTTCAAAATTAATGAGGGTGAGTCCTAACAGGGGGCAAGGATGCCAAGTGTCCTTCAGTGCCTGGAAATGGTCCTGTTGGTACAGGAGGGTGTGTATCAGTTTCACACAAATACCACACTTCTATGAGATTTGAGTCTCCAAGGAGCTGAGCATCTGCAGGAGCAGATCCTCCATGGACTCCGAGGAACGACTCCACATCCTTTCTCAGTTCCCACAGAGCTTACATGTCAGCAGCCATCTGCGAGAAACAC